TTCAACCTTTATACCCTACATGCAAAGACAGACATGTCCAACAGCCTAGGCAGGGCTAGTGGATTTTGCAAGCAGGGTGGTGAGTTCTGCTTTTAACTTGCCTGATCGCCATTTGAAGTTTTCTGGGGGGAATTCAAATGACAGGAGTTATTGTAAGACCATATCCTAATAAATTCATGTGGATCAAAAGCTGTTTTTCAAGCTGATCTGATGAAGTGAAATTACATGATGTATTACACTTTATTATTATGATGAATTAATTAACTAATGATGTAATAAAAAATAAACACATTTATCAATTATTAATTGTCAGTCATGTTCCTAGTTAAAATGGCTCTCAGACTAGTTCATGCCAGCACCGTAATGAGACTGAAATTTCACTTCTTTTTTACCTTAGGATGCATGTATTCCTTCCTACATGATTAGAATAAGGGGTTATTAAAGAAATGAAGTTAATGATAAAAATAATGTACAAGCTCCTGCTGTGTTATAAGTTAATTATAATGTTGTTGAATTTTATATTCATTTGTAAAAGTTTGCTTACATATTTTTTCTTGAATCAGGTAGCCATCAACCTGACAAGTCTGTCTTTTTACCTTCGTATCTTCATTATCAGGTGGACCCTATTAGAAAAAAAAATTAACAGCAAGGAAAAGTGTTTTTTTTTACCAGCTTAACAACATTGTTATCATCATCATTAACCTAGCTGTGACTCCCAAGAGTGACCAACATCAATTTTCTCCTTTTCTCCTTTGCTGCCTTTTGTGAGTCACATCCATGATAGAGGAGTTTTTATCCACAAGCTAGCAAGATTCCATTTAGTTTGCTTGCTAATTTGTCTGCTGCAGAGGTTATCTGATTGTATTTTATAAGAGTAAGTATTCATGACAACTATTTTTAATTTCCCAGACCTTTCAGTACTTTTGCATGTCAGTACTGTAGGCATCTTGTATGGTAACGTCATAGCTTGAGTGGATCTCTTTTGCTCTACCTGTTCATCTTATAGCCCTTAAAAACTTTACAGCCATATATAATAACTTTTTTGTTTCTATTTTATTATTTTTTGCACTGTATGTTTGTGTTGGACATGGCTGCATTGCAGTTTGTTGGTCGCTCAATGTCAGTACTTTGTCTAACCTTAATTAATGTTAAGTTCATATTGAGATAGCAGTGACTGCTTTGCAGTACCTATCTCCTCAATAATTGACTACTTAATATGTGAGTAGTTATAGCTTACCACTAAACCAGTGTCTCTGAAGTAAGGATAAGCAAATTTCATTAATGTGTGACCTTCTGGCTTCCCTTCATCTTTATTTGCTCTCATTTGATGCAATCCAAGCTAAAACCACATTAAGAAAGGGGTATCAGCGAAAAAAACTCACTGCAGTGTTCTCACCAGGCCGCGGCCTTGCGGGATTCCCGCAAGAAAAACTGAAATGGCGCATTTAAAACGAAGAAGATGCGCCCGTTAGGGCGCAGGGGAGCAGGTGCAATTGTTTGAATAAATAAAAGACATGATATCAAATGAGTCAAAGTCTTTCATTTTGTTGCCTTTACTTTCATTGCTCCCACGCACGTCCCACTACATCGTAAACTCCTCCTCCGAATCGTAAACACCTCTTCCGCCATATTGGATCAGGTAGGTACTTCATGTAACAGACAATTTGGAGTGCGGGCTCAGGTTCTTCGTACCGCGTGTTTTTTGTAACTTTGTCCCCCTAATGTTCTTACAGGGCCCCTATTTCTCAGAAGAGGGGGCCCTGGGACTCTCCAAGGCAAAATCCTGGTGAGAACACTGTCACTGTTATCATCCTATTCATGTTATACAACGGTCAACCACCTCTTAACAGAAACCTTGAAAAGGTAAACAAACGACACGTTACAGTTAGTTCCTTCTGTTAGTTTCTATAAGACAGACAATTTACCGGTATTTGGAAAATGTCTAGTAAATAATATACAGTAGCCTGCATTGCAGACATAATCGAATCCCGATCCTTGTTCTGAGCCCCCTACAGACTCAACAAATTTATATCGGTGTTTGCGTGTGTGTGAATTAAGTGGGTTTCGAATTTCCTTTAAACCTGATTGGCAAATCATCAATGGCTTCTTTAACAGGCCAATCATGGCATGTATTCAAATCCTGCTGGTAAACAGGTGGGACCTGGAACAAGGATTTTGGTGCTGTTTCGCAGATCTTACTAACCAGGGCTTGATTATATCTACAACAAGGCTAAAACAATGGACACTAGATGATAATTAAGTTATATTAGTATTGTTATTATTGTCTTTGCCTCTAAAAAATGAAGCATGTTCTTGTAGGTTTAACTGTAAATGCACGGAAGTGAGTGGGAATGGTCTTTCACTTTATTTACTAACCTGCTTTTCTTTGTTCTTTGCCAAAGCCAGCTCTATTCTTTCAAGTTCATCTAACACTGCAATCTAAAAAATTGACACACGAATGAATATAGTTGTTCACAGAAATCCCCCTGACTAGAGCTGCCCCGTATAATTGTTTTGGGAATGTAAAATTCCAAAAAATATTAATACCGTGCCCATGAAGGGGGACTTTACAGATGGGTTCCAATGCACAAGTATGGATCATATTTTCTGGAACAACAAAATGTGCCGCTAGAACTCTGAAATTCCTATGCTTAACCAGACTAATACAGGAGTAAACCTGGCTAAATAAGTGGCCAGCATTTTGGATTTGAAAATACCCAGAAGCATTAGCTGGATTTATTTTTCAGCAGTCTTGAGATCACTTCCTTGCTATGCTTACAAACAGCCAACTTTTTTCTGCGGGGAATTCTTGGTGGGGATGTGCCGCCCGGTTCTCTCTATTAATCTTGAACCTGTTTCAGACCACAAAATGTCAATTTCCACACCCGTTTTCAGATGTGGCCTCTAAGAAATTATGTCATCATTACTTAGATTAGAAAGCCAATAAAAAAGATTTCTTAAAAATTCATCTTAAATTCGCATATTTGTCTAGTTTCTTTCTTATTTATATGGAATTGAAACAATAAATATGTTCATACACTCCTGTAGTTGCCTTGAAAACCATACCCTATTCCAGACCAAAATGGGCAAAGTCTATACCCATTTTTAGACCAAAGCGGCACCAAAACCATACCCTTTGGGGCAGCACATACCTATATTGCTTATATAAGGGAGTACACCCCAGGACTCTCTTACACATGCTCAAGAAGACTACATTCAAGCAGCCCTTCGTCTCTTGTATGTTTTGTTTTCCCACGCTGAAGACCATGTGCTGTTACCCCAAAGAACTGTTTCTTTCAAAATAATGTTGTCCCATCCATGTGCATATGCATAACAATGACAAGGACAAATGACAAATCTTCTTGAGAACATCATGCAGTCTGAACTGAAAAAACGAAACACGAAGGCCAAAGAAGGTATACCTTTTTACCTGATAATCTCTATTTAAAATCAAGCACTGTTGAATTTTATTGCGCATTTCCATATCCTCGATGTTTTCCTCCTCACCATCAGAAAATCGACCGTCTTCCTCCTGATCAAGTCCCTCGACATCCCTTGGGTCAAAAAACTGATTATCTATGGCAGGCCATGTTGAATTATTGAGTCCTTCTTGGTTTGCAGAAGAAAGACTTGTACAAGGGTCACTCGTGGAAGGAACATTTGTAAAGGAACTTGACACACTTGAATAAGATACATTTGGAAGGGAACTAGTAGAAGGTTGGCAATTCACTGGCTGTAATTCAGTAATGGTATAATCATCTGAGCAAAGGTTACCACTTCTGTGAGCTGGAAAAAGATTACTGTTGGCTAGTTGGTGATGAGAGAGAACATCAGAAACTCCTTGTGCACTGCTGTCTTGTCCTGCATTGAATGACGACTGCTGACCAACATATACAGGTTCTAATACAGTTCCAGGAAATGCCACTTGAGAATTCTGCTCCTGGAAAAAGGAATGGAAAAATCAAAGTTATGATACTAAAACCATAAGATTGCTGGTATAAGGAAAATGGAGGAGGAGTGACCAGGATTAAAAGTCATTTTGGATAAAAACATTCCCAGATAATATACGGCGAAATTTTGAAAATAAGTCCTGGAGCCTACATTTTCAAAGGCCCTCTCAAGGAACTTATATATGGAGGGAGCTTTGCAATGCAAAATTAAGGTTGACTGTACGGAGAAACACTTTCTAAACAGGGGCGGATCCAGGATTTTTTTTAGGAGGGGGTGCACTCGTCTCTTGTTCTACTTCAACACCAATAAACCACATAGTTTTTTTTTTGTTTGCAGAATACCAGTTGTATTAGAAAACTGCAGGTAATCTCAGGGGGGGTGCGCACCCCCTGCACCCTCCCCCTAGATCCACCCCTGCTAAACTTATGACAGTGTGTAGGAGCTCAGCTCATGACATTATTTTTCATTTTCATTTAATAACAGAGCAATGCACTTTTGAGTTGTTGAAACCACATGTCCTAATCAAGTTGGAGAGTATTGTAAAGACAATGACTAGAGAAAACTTACTAGTGCCAGTTGGGCATCTATTTGGTGCTGCAAGTTTACGGAGGTGCTACCTGTTGATTGAAAGATGTGATGTTCTTGTATTAACATTTCCTGATTGGTCTGATTTATTATGACTGCAGCCCATAGGGCGTGGAGGTGTGTGTGGCCTACTTTCATGACCCTGATTCATTTTGTTTCACATACAGAATTAAGTAGAATTATTTATGAAAACTAACTTTACAGAATTAGATTTTTTGGAAAAAAATTGTTGGTATCACACAAGTAGACTGCTCATAGCCAACGTTCACTTTTCTTTTAAAGGCTTTCAGTCCAAAAAGACACCCTGTTCAAGATGCTAAATTATTGCATACCCTGAAAACCATACCGTGTCACATACCCACCGAGGCCAAATAAAGGAGTGTACTCCCTGGGATGGGGAATTTGATTGCCACACATCAAGGGGTTGGAGAATTTGAATCCTAGCTTTTATTTCTCGTGATATGTATGTCTTAGTGCTTGTACAAGGTGTGAAAAATCATTGTGGAGGTCTTTATGGCAATTTGGAAATAATTTTAAAGCTTCAAGACGGATTGGCTTAAAAGCAAAGGGGTATGTGGCACAAGCTTTGCTCTGTTTGCAGACACAGCTTCAAGAGCATTAGAAAGCTACATTTCATTGACATCTATAATTAAAAGAGCGATATAGCTATTTTTAAATTATTAATATATATTTTTGATCACCTAAAATGTACCTACGATGGGGTATTTGAAAGACTTTTTGGCCCGGGAGTGGGATTTTACAAAATTTATTAAAAATTCAAATGCAGTGGGGGTTGCCCGGGCGGGACGGGAGATTGAAGTGTTTATACATGGATCGGATCTCAGCTGAATTTCAAAATTATGTACGAGTCTTTCCATTGAAACAATCCCTAAAATGATCTTGAGATACTAGTCTTTAGACAAACATGTGAAAAGCACAGTGTCAGTACAGAAAAGCAGGCCCCGCTTCGGCTGAAATTTAGAAGTTTAAGCAGGCTTTCACTACACCAACACAAGGCATAATTCACAAACCTAGAAAAACTTCTCGACATCCTTCTTGGCCATCTTCGTCGGATTCTTCTTCCTCTTCCTCGTCGGAAGACAACTTCGAAGCAGCACCAGTGTGCAGCACTTGGCGAATTCGCTCGATGTCATCTACAAGAAGCTTTCTCTCACTGACATCGCGGTCTTCTGCTTTCGAAGTGCTCATGTCAATCCCTCACAGCGCTTTACTTCTTATCAAAACTAAACAATCTTATTCAAAGAGGGTACTATCCAAGTTCTCCACACTTCAACCGAACGTTTACAATACGTTTCAAGAATTCCGCAGCCATATTGAAGTGGAGCAGCGCACGCATGTGCAGTAAATCTGTCTGTCATATGTGTTTGAGAGCAATCCCACATGGCTCACACTAGCCTGAGTATAAGGCCTTCCTAAGGGGCTAGGGGAGAGGAGAGTTTAGATGGGGAAGCGGGGAGGGGAAGAAGAGAAAGGAAGGCTTGACACAAAACCATTCAGCAACTCGAATCATGCTGCGTGGGGGTGGAAGGCTCCAGTAAAAGCATCTGTGCCAGGCGTTTCTCTCCCTCAGCTCTCTCCCTTTTTCGCTTCCATCTTTCCCGTTTTCCCCAGAAACGCCTGATACTCAGGCTAGGCTCACACCTCACTCTAACAGCGCATTGACAAATTCTCTGGCGGGGGGTTCGGGCGAAAGAGGGGGAGGGAGTAGAATTACTTCGTGATAATTGTAGACCGCAAAACAGTCGGATTTTTTCTCAAAATCGTAAAAGCGTGGCGTAAGAGTCTTACGCCGCCTCATACGGTGAGGCACCGCCCAAAAGGGGTACCTTTCTCAGGCTTCATGTATATGAAAGGGTAGAGATTTCACTAGCTGAAATGTTTAAAAAGAGTAGGGAAATCGGTCAATTCGGTCTGTAAAAAGGCCCAAAAGGGCTAACAGATGTATTTTATTGCGACCTGATAAGGTAGAGAAAACGTTCTGGTTTCGCCATTTATTCATATTTAAAAGAGAGTAAATTTACAGCAGTTATTTAACACTGGGACACAAAATTCTAAACTAGTAATGTGAAGGTATACAAAAGGGGTACCTTTTCTCTCAAAAATGGTATATAAAAAGGTAAGGGGTTGCACCTTAGGGCAGAACCTCCACGAATAAAACTTCATTGAGTACCCCCCCACCCTGTCTTGCTTGCAGGCTGTAATAGATCAGATGTTAAACAAGGTAAAGAAATGAGATGTAATACGCGTCAAGTCAACGCCTTTAAACGAGTTCACACTCTTCTCGACAAAGCATCTCACAGCACAATAAAGAGGGAGACAACAACTGCAACTTCTGTATTTTTTTTTTTTAATGAAAAGTGAGGGGACACAATAAATTACAAAAGTTTACAAATAACTCAACTGTTAAAATTGTGAAATAGTCCCTTAAGCAATATTTACATTTATTGCAAATTATTTGACCATATTTCTATGACACAAAAAACTTCCTCGTTTAGCTAATATTTCCATTTTGCTCAAAGGATATTATATCTACATCCCAAGGTTTTTGTAACAAGTATATATCATGCGCCACGAACGAAACAGACAAAACAAACTGTGGTGACTTTTTGCTTTAGCATTTTCAGAAAATAAGTAATTCAAACTGAAATGAGTCAACAACTATGAAAAGCAAGTGCCAAATGATAGAAGATTGTCAATTAAGAACATTTTATTCAGATCTGAAAAATTGTTTAAACAAAAACCTCTGTCACCTTCATGGCACTTCTGATCGTAACAATTAATAATAGTACTTCAGCCATTGTCTTTTGTAAAGTTTTGCTAATGCTTATCTGCATCACATTAGTGGAGTGCTGAATGAATGCCATTTATTAGTTTAGCTGTAGAAGAAACGTCCATACTTGGTGACACAGTGACATGGAACCGCAGAAAACCCATGTTAAACTTGTGCCGTGTTGTATAAACTGCAGCATCATCATCAGCTGTTTGTGTCCTTTAGGCAGCTAAAACACAACGACAACAGAGTGAGGACATAAACAACACTGAATGCAACCCAGTAATGCATGCAGAAATTAATCAGAACTGAATGTTCCAATGTCAGGGAAGTTTGTTATTCAAATAAAAAAAAATTCCAATGAATTTGTCCCCAAAAGGATAACAGCCCCTAACTGCGTTTAGGTACCATCTTCCAAGAAGCATTACTTGTTTTTTCTATGACTAAGTCTACACTACATTGTTCTTGAAAATATCTCGACCTCCTCAAAATCTTTGTCACTTCCCTTGAGGATCTGCACCCACAGGTAAGGAAGCTAAAGTCACACCTTGATGTAAGACCACCTCATGTAAGCAGTCTCTTTAAATTAAAATTAATATGAGAGCCAGACCCCCTGTAGTACAACTCTTCTAAGGGACCACTTACATAAGCAACCACTTAGTCTTAACATTTTGAGTGCTTGCTTTGTAAGAGGATTGGCTGTAAAAAAATTGAATTCTAAATACTTACCTAAAACTGCCCCATCAGAATCAACAATGAACATATATTAAAGTATTTTAGCCTTCTTTTCACTTACTTAGGGTAGTCCAGAGAAGCAATGACGTCTTTTATCTTAGCTGTTAATTCCAAATTCTCTTTGCTATTTTCCTGAATATAGTGCTGTAGCTTTCCTACAAATGCATCAACAGATTCCAGTGTTATGGGATCCTTTTCTCCTGGGATTTGAACGTCAGCAAAGCTACGAGAGATTATTTGTCGCAACTTGGCAAGATGTCTCTGTAAAGCACTAATTTCACTTTGTTGCTCCTTTCTTTCACCTTCCAGTTTATCAATGCCTTTCTTCATGTTTTCTATGTGTTTACTAAGTATGGCATTCTGTTCCTCAAACTCTGTGTTAACCTTTCTTAACTTCCTCAGTTCATTTTCACGAGCTGAAATTAAAAAAACAGAACAGAACTAAGATCACTGGATGAAAGATATACCCGCTATTCCACAAGGTACTGCACATTTCATGATTTGCTTGATCAAAAATAATGAGGGGCTAGGAGGTAGGTTAGACTTCTAGTTACGTCTTTTGATCAACTCATTAGCTAGAAAAAAATATGCATACCTAACTAATTCATTAGCTACAAGTATTGCCAAGAAGGGTGTATAGCAAAGAGTAAAACAGCACTAGTCACTGGAGCCCACTCAAGAGGGCTTTGTTAGGAATAATTTTCTCTGAAGTTCTTAGAACTTTTCTGGAATCAAACATGTACAAAATCATGAAAATGTTTTACAGCAAAAATGTTATAACAAAACCATGTATTCTAAGCTTAAAAGAAAAGAAAGGAAATTAAATCTGAAAAGTTCTAAGTTTGGTTGAAGATAACTACGTCTAGTTTCCACCTTTTCTTTTTTTACAGAGAGTTTCCTGGAATTCAAATGTTACCATTACCTTTGTTGTAATTTAGAAATTCCTCTGTAAATATGGGAATATCACCATCCAGTGGAACCTGTAGTGACTGTGATTCTGTAGATTCATCCACTTTTTTCACTTGTGGCATATCTTTTCCGTTTGTTGTTTTTTCTCCTTGTTGTTTCTCAGCTCTGTTCATTTGTGAGGATATGACTGCAAAGTGCTTCTTCCCAGACATGTGTTCGCGTTTGTTATGGGGTGAGTTGAAGTATAAATTACATGCGCTGCAGAACAAGTCATCATTTCCTCCCTGGTAAAATAAAAAGAACAGGCAGATTAAAGACTGAATAAACTAAAAGATCAAACGCTAGATGTAAAAGAATCACACACAAACAGGACAGAAACTCTTTAATACGAAGTTATAAATACGGTGAGGTCTTTCAAATCCCAAAAACTTGACTTCACTAACCTTAGACTCATGATTTAAATAACCTTAGTTTAGCCAGAGAGGTTGATATGACATTGACTTCCTCAACAAAACTTTTTTACTTGACCTAAACATGGCACTCTGTTTAAGAATTATTCTACTTAATGAAGCTTCTAATGTCCCTTTCTCTAATATCTACCTAACTACATGTCAAACCAGTCCAACTTTTAGCCAAATTCACAACAACCCCATTGACAATAGGACAACTTTGGAGTGTTACAAAACCACAGACATTCTTACCTGTGTTCCATTGACACCATCACCAGAACCTATGTAGAAGCCAAACGTACAAGAATTTAATGTCTAGGTACAAATCTTTGCAGTTGGTAAATGGTTAATATCTAGTTTTATTCAGAGATTTATTACAAGGTATCATGATATACAAAGTACTTTATGTAACCACAAACTTTAAATTCTAAGGTCATTGGGGCAGAATGCAGGAGAATTCTTTATTCACACATGATAAACAGTAAAAATGTGTTGCACTTCGAGAGCTCCACAAATCTCACATGTTCTAAAGTTTGCAAAGAGGCTACAATCGGCAAACAAAATTGTTGAGACATTGTACTCAAATAGGGTAACTTCAGAGAACAAAAAATCCACACCCCTTCCCCATCCCTTCCATTCGAAATTGGGGTGTTTGTTGTTTTTCACAGGTAGCTTGAACAACGGTGCAACATTGCATGGAAGGGATAGGGGAGGAAAAGCTTTACTTTCCCCTTTTTAACTCAGTAAAATGTCAGAAAAGCTTTTTTCTGACAAAGTGTTTCAACTAATTTTGTTGCCAATTGTAGATTGCTCAAACTCCCTGGCAAGCAAAACCAAAACTCAATAAAATAACATGCACTGGTTTTGAATTTTCCTACTTATGTGTATAAAGAACCATCACAAGGCTGTCACCAATCCGAGACATCATTTTCAAATCTTTTATGGTTAGAACGGTTCTTTTTTTTACTTTACAGAATCTGATACTAGAAAGTTACTACAAGTTTGTTCCTTATTCCTGACTTGGATCAAAACAAGATGGAAGACTATTACTACAAGACGTTAACCTTTTTTCAAAGCCTTTTGTCTGGCGACAAAATTCTTGTAAGCATCAGTTTGCTGATAAAGTTCCAACTCCTTCATGTATCTTTCCTTGTCCTTCTCTGCTTCTTCTAGGTAACTCTAAATTCGATTGAAAAGGTCCAAGTATGAGCATGCATAATGAGCAGACAGCAAGCTTCAGTTTCTTAGTGAAGTAATTGTTTTATCAGTGGTGGCATTGATCATAGTAGAGAAGACGGGCTATGAAAGCCAGCAAGCTTCAAAGATAAATACAACGGTGTTGCATTTTAAGTTGGAAGTTCCCTGATGGTGCACAATTCTTTCTTTTTTGTTCACAAATTGTGTCCTGTATAAATTAATGCCAAATTTTTACTGGTGGAAAAGATCAAAATGATAGGAATGCTCTTGAACATTGTGCACCCTCAAGTTCAAAAAAGCTGACAAAGCACTTAAAACAAAGAGATCCAACAGGCTTCATAACCATTCCACTTTAATAACTATGCTTTGATGAATGTGGGAGAGCACCAGCAGGAAGACAGGGTGGGAAGCTAGACAAATAGGGGAAAGGAGAAGGATGGCGGGGAGGAGAGTAAAGGGCAGGAGGTGGGAGTTCTAATAGGTTGGGAAGCAGGAGAAACAAGGGGAAATTATCTAACAATGCATATTTATAATTAATACCTTTGCAATCGAAAAAGGGCTTAACAGAGGAAGGAAAGGAGAAAGGGGCAGGACAGCAGGAATGCAAGGTATGGCAGGTTTGGACCTCCTTGTTACCCCTCCCACCCACCCCCTCTCCATGCATATGGAGGCATGATAGTCTGGTGCTGTAGCTTGTACATAGTCTCCTGATCTAGAAGTCAGTGTTTTAAAACTTGACTGTAATGTTGCATTGTAACCCTCTCGTGGACAAGACACTTTGCTTGACTACACTTTCTCTCCCTATCCAAGAGTATAAATGAAGAACTACAACAGACTAGTGCTCCATTTGGGAATTGCAAGAGGCTGATGGTAATCAAGCTCTCCTTGCTTGACCCACTGTACTTTTTTGTGGCACACTTGCACGTAATCTTTGACTCTTGTGATTTCCAAATGGAGGGAGACCTTGGTTGCAGACTAACAACTTACCAATACTCCTAGATTGTAAGATCTTTGTGCAACAGAACAGTTTTAACACTCCAAACAATACCTGTTTTTGATTAGAAGGCAGTTGACTCCACATATTTCCAAGGATTTTCGTAACTTCATGAAATGGAAGATCTTGATTTTCAGCTCTCACTTTTTCACGGTGTTCATTTAGAAACCTAACATATCCTGTCAGAGGAGCTTTAGGTGCATTTAAGTCCTTGTCAGGCTTTTTCCGTTTCTTTCCTTTGGTAAATATAGGCTGTAAATTAAAGACAAAATAGGCAGCATGTTCATTGCTGGTGGACTACACTGTGTCATCTACAGTTGACTCCCGATAACTTGAACCTCGCTAACTCAAATCTTTCGCTATTTATCCAGTGGATAGAGCTATCATCCTTTTGAACAATAATATTAAGACCAGGAGAAGAGGAAATGATTAGCAAAGATACTTGAAAAAAAATAAAAATAAAAATAAACAAAAAATAAAATAAAACACTTATTGTTAGCACTGCAAGAAATGTATGAGGGGGATTAAGTACTTGAGCACTTTCCCAAACATTCCTCATTTAGTTTCCACCAACCTTTCGTTGCTCAGGTTTATTAGGACTGACAGATGGACTGTTCTCAGCTGCAAAGAAATAGAGAAACTAATCAAACTTGGCCAAACACGTAAAGCTCACACCTCCAAATGTTGTATCAGAGCACCCTTCTGAAATCTGTCTTTGTCGAAATTTTTTGATCTATGGTCTACCATGGGTAGTTTGAAAAATAAATGTAAGCAAACATTGAACAAACATATCACCATAGAAAGGGTCCCTAATCTGTTCTTGGGGATGCGGGATTTACCTTTTTTAAAGGGTGGGATTTGGGATTTTAACGAAAACTGTGGCAAGATTTGGGATTGAAAGTACGCATGCAGGGAATGCAGAATGCCAAAAATAACCATTGGGATTATGGGATTGCATGAAACTTTGGGTTGGGATGATGACGTGATTGAAGAACCCTATTGGGGACCCTCCATAGAAGTAGGGGGAACCAGGAAGGGGATTTTTCTTCCCACTTTTAACCGGGGAAGGATGGCACCTCTAGGCCTCTCCAGTGCCACTAACACACTAACCCCCCAATTTATAATGCTAACGAGTCATGGTTTATTACCTGAGGATTTTTCCTGAACTGATGATCTGTAAAGAAAATAATGTAAATGTTAGCTTTCCACATCTCATTAGTACATCAAAGTTAAGAATCAGCTAGAAAAGCATCACCTGAGAGACACACCTGCCTTTTATAATGGGGTTGTCTGCTTTGACTCAAATGGAAGCTTTTATTTAGGCTCAATTACCAGCTGCTGTTCGGGAAATGAGCCCACGCTGACACTCCCCCGAACAGACGGCTGGACGCATGGGCTTGCTATTGTCAATTACCACCAATCAGATCGTTGCCTGCACAAATCAAGCAGGCAGCATAGATTTATTTTCCTGGAGCAGATTTCAAACGGCGGATGCAAAGGTGTTGTTTGATGTGGTGTGCGGTCATGTTTTGGAGCATTTTACACTTAAAAACCCAAAATATTTACAAAGAAAAGTATTAGCTAAGAGAGGCTGGCAGATGGGAGGTATGCTTTTGAAAACTGGATTACTTTTCAGTCTGCAACAATGGTTATTGACAGCTGACAAGAAAGAGATGACTGTCAATTCCATCGGTAATGCAAGATCAATGTAAATACAGTCAGTACGTGTTTCTGCTGATTTTTATGGCAAATACCAAAGCTTCGACGAGGCAAAGCGCACAATGTGTTCGGTATTTAATGACATTTGCCATTTCCAATGTTTCGTAATGACGCATCCATTAAATTTTGAATTTAAGTGACAGACATGATAGGCTACTCACGCATCCAGCTGTCTCTTTCCAGACCCATTGACTGGCAATTTGTAACTTCTAATGTCTTAATATAATTATCATGAGAAGTGAAAAAAAATGGGGTAGTTAAAGGGTAACTCCCATTTTGTGACCATTTTTTCACACTAATCTCAAGAATAAAAATGATTTTTGCAGTGATCTCCAGAAATAGGCACATCTAAATTCACTTCTAAAAGGAGATATTTGATTTGACAGGGACACATAAATATATACAGATATACATAAGTACATATCAATAAGCACACAGCCCCCAAAAAACAAAAACAAAAAACAATGAAATAAAAATAATAAATCTATCAAAGAGCCTGCGGAACAAATTCCGATACACGTTTTTATCAAACCACGAACAGCTAACAATAGTATCGAGGGTAACCTCGATATAGGCTCATTGACTTCCAGCAGACTAAAGAAATATTTAATATCCTTCGAAGGGCTACAGCATCATATCCAATGCATCGCTTTGGAATTGGTAATTTTAAAGCTTCCATGAGATTTGTGCGGTCAGATTATGAGCCAATTATGAAATAATAATGAGTCTATAAGTTTCACCGTGTCTACGCGGGTATTCGTGTACGATACAGTAAGCCCAGAACGTAATCCGATAAACTTGATTTGAAAACTTCATTGAGTGAATTTCCGACGATGTAATCAGTATCAACGACAGAAATTACACTGTCGGCTCTTCTTATATATTTACTCAACATCTGGAAAATGCACTTGAACAGCTTACCTTCCTTCGCTTGGTTCGCCGCTTAGATCACTCGTTGTGGTTTCCATTTGTCGGACTTCAATAATGACCTGGCTGAACACGCCACGTTTATGATGAAGAATTTTCGACGTTTTCGCCCCTCGTAACCTTCAGGACTAATGAGCTATGCTGCGACTATAGTTCTTGAATTCCTATACGCTTTTTTAACTATTTAAAAGGAAAGAAAACAACAGAAAATCGAAGAAAATTACTCAACACCTCGCGGGTACCACGCTTCCCGGAACATGCACAAGAAAGCAAGGCTCCTTTTATGGCTACGAATACCATATATGGACTTCAAACCAAATGGGATTCCCATTTGCCTTTCAGTTCATTCCCTTTTGGTTCTTTTCCATTTCCGTTAATTCCTTTTCATTTTGAATACCAATACGGGCCAAGGACAGCTGTTTCCTTTTCGCACCCTCTGTTTCTATTTCTGTATCTCTTTTTCTTTTTTTCATTCATATTACCTCGGCAGTTAACACAGTTAACACCATTCTCGGAAACATAAAGCCTTAGTAGCGGCTTATAGATTTATAGATACCCGAACTCTCGACAGAAAGATTTTGACACTGATGAGATTAAGTGATCACTATTAAGCAGAAAATTTCGAAAATTCCGGAAGAAAGGATGATGAATGGTAAGGTTATTTTTCGGAAATTTCAAGCGGAAATTGAGCACTATGTTTTGGCATGATGTTATTATGCCTGAGCGCTTCTAGGATATATAACACGTTTAGCATTTCGATCCGTAGCCGAAAAAAAGAAAGTAGGCTCTTGTTCTATATCCTTTCTGGTTCACCCAGGTAGAAGTCCTGGCATGATGTTATTATGCCTGAGCGCTTCTAGGATATATAACACGTTGGCAATTAGCCTGTTCCAAGCGTTCAGATAGTGGAGAGCGGTGCGAAGTAAAGAAAGCGAATGAAAAGTAGAGGGGGACTGGGGAGAGAGGTTACCTCTCTCACCTCTCCCCCTCCCTCGCTTTTATTTTTTCGCGCTCCTTTTTACTTCGCACCGCTCCCCACTATCTAAACGCCTGGAACAGGCTAGTTGGCAATGAAATCGACGGCAGACTTTAAAATGTTCTTTTTAGAAGGCACTGAATTATTTTTTCCGGACATTTTGTTTGATACCGCATTTTTAATTAATTTTATTTGTCGCCCCAGATGATGACATGATTGCGTGAAAATTGACGCCTCTATCATATTAGATGCGAAATACGATCAGAGATTAAGGGAATAGGGAATGTTGCAAGCTACTGGGTATCCAGCTGAGATAGCTGACTTTTACTCAGCTATCTCAGCTGGATACTAAGGGGTTTTTTTGGTTGCTAAGACCGTGCAGCTCGTTATGTTTAGACCCGGTTTAGACGCCGAACTTTTCATGAGCCGTACCTAATTCGAATTAAGGCCGACCCAAATTATTTAGATCGGCTTAATTGATTCAGACGCCGATCTTAATTGCAACTGAACTAAGTTCAAAAGGCGAAAAATGCTCATCTCGGTCAAACTGCTTACTAAATACGTTATAAAAATTCATGGATTGGGTTCGGTACACAAAAAGTTCGGTGTCTGAATCAAAGCCGTTCCAAACTCGCTCCAAAAGTGAAATTCCCGGTCGGGTTAGGCAAAAAGAACGGCTGAGCCGTTCCAAACTGAAAGAGACGTTTTTAATCGATTCAGACGCAGAACTTTTTAATTCAATGTATTAGGTTTGGCTCATGAAAAGTGCGGCGTCTGAACCGGGCCTAACCTGTGCTCCGAGCCTGCAAAACAGTCGGGATTTTTTTTCTCAAAATCGATTTGGCGTAGCGTAAGTCCCAGTTTCGCTCTCCGTTTTCAGCCTCGCTCCAGATTAAGTTTGACTGTTCGCGCGTACTTGAATACGCAAAAATACGGACTATGTTGCAGTCTAGCCTGTGCCAGGCTCTCAAAAGATAGTAGGGAAAACAGGGTGAGGGAAAATACGACTCACACGATCGGGAAAGGAGGGCGGCACATTACCATCTTGGAGCCCAGGTACCAACTGCTTGGAGCCTGGACCACGGAGACTAGCCCATTGACCAATTGTATTGGTTCCAGACTTCCACCTCACAAATTCGCCTCTTCTTTGTATTTAACTCGCATAAAAAGAAAGTACCTATTCTGGTATTTTTTAATTTGCTTTGGACACCCCAAACGGATTTTTCTGTCAAATGGTAAACACCCTTTCTCCACATAACTATTATTCATTCCAAAATATATTTCGCTGTTTCTCTGTTTCTGTTTTTGCTCCTTATTCCTGACGTAGATCACAGCATGTAAAATATGGAAAGAGGTTTGGGTTTTACTGATGCTCTTGTTCACCCAATTCCTCGCGACACGAGCGGCCGTAGGGCCACTGCTGATTCGTATCACCCATATAACTTCTCCATTTTTAAATGAAGAAGTGAGAGGTGGGCGAGTTTCATCCTCAAAAGTCCAGGGACTGTCAGTCGGGTCGTGAGAAACAGCACGATGAAAGTTTCAAGCACTGATAGAAACGCCCTTCGGTAGCGAGTGTCGCCAGACCATCTCCAAATGGTTCGATAAATATCAGCTCGTGATTGGGCACAAAAAAATCCTTTGTATTATTGTGCCCAATCGGCGAACAGCACCGCTTGAGTCACTTCTGTTTGTCTTTTGCTTGCTCTTTCGCCTGTGTTTGAAAACTTTAGTCTTGCCGTTACTCCCGAACAGACTGTATCCAAATATGTGTCCAATTACAGTAAAAACCCGCATATAAGAACCTAGAATTTTTTAGGTCAGGCTGAACAGTTTCTTATATTTTAGGGTGGTTTTTCACAATTTCGGTTGATTAGGTTCTTAATAGGTTCTTATTTCTCAGAGGTTGTCGAAGTATAACCATTGGAAGAAAGATATAGATATTTTAGATTTTAATTCGTCTACATTTCTAGTGAAAATCCAAACAAATGTAAATCAAAGAAAACATATACACATAACTTTTTGTTGGAAGTTTCCGGGCACAATTAAAATCCAGAATTTTGACCATCAAACTTGGAGTGATATTTTTGTATAAGAACCTATTTTTCTTTGCCAGACTGAACAGGTTCTTATATGTTTGGGTATTCAAATGTCAAAGTTCAGCCTGTAGGTTCTTAAATCACTAGGTTCTTGAATGCGGGTTTTTACTGTATCGAGGGATGGGTGAGAACCGCACAAGCAATTCGCTCCTTAACGCTTTGCGTTAATCGTTCCCGCGTGTTCAGCGATATTAAGAGGCCATTTGCACGATGACGTCATTTCACTACCACGATCTGAATCCTTCAAGGTTTTGCCTTATTGTGCAAATTAGGGCTATTTAAATCTTGACGGGATTAACAAATTTGAAAACGAAGGGAAAAACAAAAAGGATTCTGGTCGTGGTAGTAAAATGACGTCAACATGCAAATGACCTATTCAACGCTGAGTTGATTTCTCGCAAACTTTATCACTGTCGATTTACAGTAAACATGACAACTGCACGAAGGCTGTCCACAAGCGTCTTTTAATTTATTTTCTCTTTGTAAGGAGTAAGGATTAAAGAAGGGATATGGGGGTATTTTCCACTAAGTCAAGAAAGACTATTTAGAGACTGATCAAAGATAAAACTTCTCTATACTTGAATCTTGAAAAACAGCTATAAATACTCGAAAACATGTACAAATTAGCCACTTGACCTTTCAAAAAAATCTTGTTGCTAATGAAATGAATCAAAGAAAAAACATTTTGAATCCTAAGAGACTTTTGACACAGTCAAGTTCACAAGAATGAGATACTTTCACCTGGTTCCTATGAAAACAACGTTACTTCTGTTCTTTTTAAGATGTGTAAATGCCAGTCAGTGGCCAGTCTGGTGGTGGGTGTTTGCATCCTGGTTAAGGTGGCTGAACATAGTTTTGCGGGCGCTCAGCGGTAACTCGTGTGACAGCGTGTGTTTTAAATTAGACAAACAAACATGGCGGTGAAAAAAGCAATGGTACATAGAAGATGACTTCTCAAAATCTACTCATTAATATTTTGTGATATTTGGCAGAATTTTACTTTTATCGTATTTTAAATTATGAGAACTTTAAAATGAAGTTGAACAGACGAATTTTGTGACATATTTAGTAATTACAGTACAATTATATCATTGATTATCTAAAAACCTGTCTGTTAAAATTTAGTCAAATAAGTTTCAAGTGGTAATGATTAATTATAGTAAACTGTGTGCAAGTTTATAGGAAAATCTAATGAGCGAGTTTTATGAAAACTGAGCAAAAGTGCAATTTTAAGGTTGTATTCAATCGTTCATGTGACCATGGAAACTATGAAAACATCACAGTTGGCCTGTCAATCAAAATCGTTCATCAGTATATTTTTCACTTGCCAAGTTTCAGCTTATGAGCTGCAACCTTTCTCATGCCATGATTCGGCAAATGAGATATACTCACAAACTACCAAAACTGTGTTAAGCCACCTTAATATTACTTTAGCTCTTAAGTGTCTGTTATTCCCTGTGTATAAGAACAAACAGCCCCAGTCCAGCTAAAACGAAATACTGAAAAGAAATAAAAGACAACCATAATTAGGTAGTTTCTTGGTGTTGCAGATTGGTCCAATCACCAAATGACGTAACAAAAGATTGAATAGACACTGAACGAAACCCACACTACAACACAAAAGCAAACCAACAATGGTTTCCGTAACACCCAGAAACACTCCAAAATTGGTTTAATTACCATAAAATTCCGAAAACAAGCCCCTCCATGTATAAGCCCCTCCAAATATAAGCCCCCCAAACTCGCAAGGTAACAAAACCCTCCATTAAATCGCCCCTCCAAATATAAGCACCCTGGAGCTTGAAATTGGAAAATTGCCCTCAAATACAAAGTAAAACAATGGTAAATTTATGTCCAACTATAAGGCTAGCCCAATCGATTTTGAGACGCAAATTTCCCTCCGTAGATAAGCACCTCCGAAAAAGGGCCTTTGAAAAATATTAGCCCCGGGGCTTATTTTTTGCCGGCGTGCAGACGTCTCCTATTTCCTTTGTTGCACGCGGAAAAGGGACGCCATCGCTAATCATGTTCCAGCGTCCTGCTGGGTTTCCAAGATCTTGGGAACACGCTGTGATAGGCTGACACACAGTGCGCATTGTTTGACTTAACGCTGATTGGTTGTTATCGAATGTGGTCTGATAATGTATGCGGTGATTTAAATGATTTATGTAAGCGGGGTTTTCTAACCAAAACAAATCAAAACATGTGCGATTGTGTGCTGTGTTTTTCGTCGATCGAAAAGCAGAGCGATCGAAATCTTGTGCGAGGATGCGGAAAATTTAACGTGTACGAGGAAATTATTTCTTTACAATTTACTGTGCATGACACATCACATCATATTTGTAAACAGTGTCTGAGAAAACTACAAAAGCAGCGTGGACTTCGCACCAGGCAGGCATTTCGGAGAAAGCCAGCCAAAGAAACTAAAATCTTTATTTAGCCGTAACAAACAGAGGTCAAGAAAATTTAAACACTTTACAACTGCATCTGAAATAAAATCCTATCGGGAACACCCACAGAAGCATAAACCAGTATGCATGTAACAAACCTGCTTCATGACCTCTAAATGGAAGACTTAGCGCGGCAAAAATGAGATTTACTCAGTCAAAGGTTAGAATGCTACATGCACTGTGCAGTGCTAGTAATCTTCGAGGGAGAGAGAAAAAAAGAAAAACCTCTGTTCAAGCAGACTCTCAAGGTCATGTTTCGCCCGTATCACGAGCTTATGATGTTTTGTTTGGCCTGTCAACTCTTATTTCTAACCGGATATTATATGCGACATAGAATACCCTGCCAGCGGGACGTTGGAACACGATTAGCGACGGCGTTACACAGACGTCCCTTTTCCGTGTGCAACAAAGGAAATAGGAGACGTCTGCACGCAGGCAACTTATTTTTAGAATTTTATGGTATATTATTATTATATTAATTGAAACATATGTAATGAATCACATTTTGAACTGCAGATAAAGATATGAAAGTGAAAATGGTCTTTGCAGTAGAATGAATTGGTTGTTCATTCTACTTTGAAGACCATGTTCCCTTTTTTATTATATTAAGTTGTACTAAAAGTTCATCGAAAGAAGCAAGAGTGATAATAACCTAAACTAAAATGATATCATGCTGTGATGAGATCTTCTTATGAAATGGATGCTATAAACACTCTCCTAACAGATGAAAAACTGTGATTAATCTGATACAAGCTGGAGGATTCCACCAACTATCAGCACCACCTGATACCAGATTATGCCGCTACCTAAATCACTAAATGCTGAGCACTGTGAAAAAGCAATTACTGGTTGGATTTGAATTTTTGAACAGCTCACATGACCATTTAGAACACCCTGTTTTGTCATGTGACTTTCCCTTATTTTCAGAAATGCAATAACAATGGTTGAAATGAGAAATGATGATGAATGCTTAAGGAAGGAACTTTCCAGCCTGGCAAATTAATTGGAAAAGATGGAGGTCACTCTATATTGATGATAATCTTTATTTATGATAACGTGAGCAGAGGTGGAGTTGCTTCAAAAAAATATTATATCCTGACAGTTTAAGAGCATTTTTAAACTGCAAAACATTAATATTGCCTCTCAAAAGGGAAGGAAAGCCACATGACCAAACAGGGTGCTCAGAATGGCCATGTGAGCTACATGTTTTCAAAATACAAATGCAAACAAACATTGAGTGTTTTGGTACAGTGGGACCTCTATTCAGAGGACACCCTCGAGACTGAGGCAAATGTCTCTTGAACAGAGGTGTCCCCTGAATAGAGATTCCGAGGGGTTTACATAACAATAATTAATCAACAAAGACACTGTATTTGTTCCCAATCTTTGTTGCACAATGAACAGGGTTTCAATGAGTAGCATTGTCACGGACAATGAAATATCAGCTTGAATCATGAAATAAGAGACTTATGACTAAGGGAAAGACAATTTAACACATTCTTTCCCTCACAGATATTCAAGTTTACTCACCTTAAATTTTGGGTAGTCATTCATAATAATTGTAACCATGCCAATATAGGGGACAAAACTGACAAAAGGAGAAAAAATATTATATCATCAGGAAAAAATTATTACAGTGCCCAGCTTAATTGATATGACTTTGCTTAGCTATTTCCGACAACCTATCCCAATCACCAAAATTCCTACAATAATTACTGTAGCTGGAACCGCTTGAAAATGAGCACCTCTCCTAATCAACTGTGACCACTTTTTAGGGGTATCTAACCCCTTGTAAGCGACCGCCTGAGCCAGTACACTTAGATCATTCTACTTTTCATCACAGGTACTCCTGTCCTTTCTTATATAAAATGTATCCATGGAAAAATAACTCACAATAAAGTGTCCCGAAAAAGGTGGTTGGAGGTGTGTGTATATGTATTTTTCATTGCTAAAATGGTTGCTAATAAAAATGACTACCATACTTAATGCACATTGCATGTAACTGCACAGTACTTACCCTCTAGCTCTACCTACAACATCTTTCCTTTGTAGCCACAGTTGTCCAGGAGCATAAAGACCACGATCATCTACAGAGTTGTTGTCACCTTTTGTTAAAAACTTGATATCTCCATTTTCTCTACAAAATAACCAAACAAACATGATTAAAAATGAAAATTGGAGAGAGACTGCTAGGTTAACTTCATTACATTCAATATTGATGTCTTCATTAACTGCTCCTTTCCAAGTTTAGCCTGCATGGCAAGCGTTCGAAAGGGAAGGGAATTAGGGCACAAGATCCTACGTGAGGGAGGAGGGAGGAGGGAAACGCCTACAAGCAAGCCATTGTTTTCGTCGTCCTGCCTACTAATTAAAAAAACAAAACAAAAATAATGCAACTCTGAGTGACTAGCTCTCAAATAAGTCTGGCCGCGATGCATGTATTCTAGTCATTCTAGTCATATTTCTCGCACTGTTTTTCTTTTGTTTTCCTAAAACAAGAAATTTACAGTGAAGGTACTATAAAAAAAGTTCAAACGCGGCCGCCATTGAAGGAATCTTCCTTGAAAGTTGAAACGACGCATGCCAAGTTACATAAAATTCAGCATAAATCTATTCAAGTTGTTGCTGAAGGAATTGGGATGGAAAACTATTTAATAAGAAATGTAGTGTCTCTTCGCAACTTTCGATGCAATGTTTGTCTAAGAAAAATTAAAACACTTTGCCGTCACTCTTTGAATTTCTATCAGGATGAATTGGATCCAGCGGAGCACACAAAAGAATGCTGGTAGCCAGGAAAAAAGAGCCTGCAAGAAGGCAGCAATTAATTATAATAAATTTTATTAAAGTACGTTCCAGGTGGTTTTATAACCAGCAAGAAGACCTCAACCAAAAATCACCAAGAGTTAAGAATCGCTTCGTCTTCAATAATCTTGCCGTTGATAACGTGGGTCAAACAGCAGATAACAAGAACACAGGCAGCATGATTTTTCCTTCCTTTCTTCTGGCAAGTAAAACCAACAAGCAGTTGGGAGATGAAACTCAACTGCTGACAGGCCTTTTCCTTCATACTGTTCTTTGACTGCTTTTTTCTATTCTCCTTTCAAGCTGAAATTGATGCCTTCTAACGATGAATTCCCGTAGAGAAATCTCATCACGTTTCACTAACGACATATGTTTAGTTACCCAAATGGCGTGATGTTGTTTTCAGCCAATTGAAAAAAGGTATTAAGTCGAAGATTGACATTTAATTAATTCTGACCAATCACTATTTTCACACTCAGAATCTGAGCATGAAAAATGGAGAAAACAATGGTCTCCTTGCAGGCCAAAATTCCCCCTTCCCCCTCTAATGCAGGGTTGTCACTAAGATTTCAAGTTGCCGGGTAAACACAACAAGTAGGCGGGGAATCAAACTGCTAGGGATTTCTTTTGGTTCTATTTTTCTTCTATTTTCCAATAAAAGTAGCCGGGGGCCACTCTCTTAGTAGCCAGGGAAAATCCCCGGCCCCCGGCTCTTAATGACAACCCTGCTAATGCCTGCCACGCAGGCTATTCCAAGTTCCCAGTTTTTTTTTTTTCAAAATGGCGGCAAAAGCACAGTCTTTGATAAGAAAATATCACCTTTTATGCAAATGAAACAAGAATAAATTGTCTTATTCAGTGCTGGAATTTATCAGAGATACAGCCACCTGAAAGCTGAACCGAGAAACAGAAAACAATGCCTTCTTCCCTCACCCTCTTCCCCATCGTTTTCTGTTTCACAAAATAAAAAACACACCCAAAAAAATTGCTAGCTACACAGGCTAGGTAATTAATTCAGTATTTATGGTTTTAAAAATTGTAACAGCGATTACTATGGCTCCTCCGGGTTAAAAAGGTGTTGGTCTTGAAACTCACTCCATCGGCTTTGCGTAAAATGATCATGAAGAAACATCTCAACAAAAGAGGACTGCTGGTAGTCAGGTTGCCCATATGTATGAGCAGATAACTTCCTTACAGTCCCTTGCCTAATTACAATACAGTTTCGGATTCACACTCCAAAGTGAAGTTCACACGATACTGGATAGCTTTTCATGCTGACATGAAAAGCTACCCAGTATAGCATGAACACCTATTCAATATGTGACTCTCCACTTGAGAGATCTGCATGGCGCAGCTTCCCTCCATTACAGAAATTGCTCTGAAATTACCATTCTTATGTGTGAACAGAAACCCTATCCACTAAGTTTTTTGTGCCAGGGTAAGAGCTATCCAGTATGTATAGAGTGAACATAGCTTAAAACACATTCCCTGTTTGTTTATGAAAATACTATGAGAGTGTTGCATTCATAATAACAACATATAGCGCTGTGCAGAAATTTCACTATCTTGGCTGGGCAACTTATACTACGTCCACCTGAATCTACAATCGGTGACAAAATGAGTTGGGACACTTTGCCCTAAAATGGGCTTTTTTATGTTTTACTGACTTCAAAAGAGGTAGATATAGCTTTTCCTTGCCCATCCCCTCCATGCAATGTCGTGTGGCTGTTTGAGCTACCTATAGAAAATAACAAACATCCCAAGTTTGAATGGAGGGGACAGGGGAGGGGAGTAAATTCTTTTGTTCTCTGTAGTTATCTTATTTGAGTACAAAGTCTCAACAGTTTTGTCGCCAATTGTCTGAATCGCAAAAGTGGCCATACATCCTTAAGAAAACTAATTCAACTCATTTCCTCATGCTGGGATGTAAGACCCCTGGTGGCCTTTTGTTAATTGCTATGTTTGACGTCGTCATGCCTATCTTAGAACAATAATTGTTCTAATTCTATTATTGTTCTAATTATTAGAATATAGCAATTTCGTTATTTTCAGCTATGATATTTCGTGTCACGCTTAACATGCCTTGAGATCGTGCGATGTGGTGCATCGCGCACAATTTCTTATTCTCTCCCAGGGCTGTGCTCTAGCAGAGCCCATTGGCCCCTGGCGCCTAACTTACTGGAAAGCACTACCGAATAAAAATATTGGCAAAACTAATTTTCCCTCGAAAAACACAGCAATGCTATTATATGGGTATCCTATCTGTCTTGTTAAAAACAACCCATGAATATAGTAATCTCAACTAGTTATTGTCTCTTAACTGGTGCTACTAGGACAACAGCGCATAGATTTCGATAACAGGTATTCGGAGACAAAATGAATTGAAACACTTTGCCCTAAACTGGGCTTTTTTACACTTTACTGACTTCAAAAGGGGGAAATATAGCTTTCCTTCCCCCATCCCCTGCTTGCAATGTTGTGCCACTGTTTGAGCTACCCATAGAAAACAACAAATATCCCAACTTTGAATAGAGGGGACAGGGGAGGGGTGTGGAATTTTTCCTTCTCTGAAGTTACCCTAATTGAGTACAATGTCTCAACAGTTTTGTCGCCGATTGTAGATATATTTGAAACCACATATTTTTTTACATGAATTAGCTCTCTGTCCACACAAATCCAGTGAATCCACTCACCGAAACCACATTATTTTGAAACCGCTCTACAGAACGGTTTTAAGGCCCCATCCAAACAAATCCAGATATAATATATGGGGTTTCAAAGATGTTCAGATTTGTAAGGACATGGCCTTAGTTGCATCCTTTTTTTGCCTTTACCTATTTTTCACCCATGGGTGCAGGACATTCCAGGCAGAGGACAAAAGTCTGAGTGATCAGTATTAAACTACTGACTGAAGTCGTTAATAAGACAATTAACATTGTCCTAGAGACAAACAAAACTAATAATGTTCAACTCTTACTTTTCGTGTATTTTTAATACTCGATGAACTATCGGGATTTCTCTGCCTTCAACTTTAAACACGACTATTTCACCAACACGGATCGGGTCTTCTTTGTAATTGGTCAGAAACAAAAGATCGCCTCGTTGAAACGCAGGTTCCATGCTGCCGCTACAAAAAAATAAACAAAAATCAAACTATCAGCAGATGTGACAAAAGTTAACTCTGAAAAGTCCCCTCATTTATGACTTCAATTTTAAGGATATAAGTGGACGCTTTTACCTCAAAACTACCACTATAGGGCTTTCGCTACCGGTCACAACCATGAGTCCCTTCCATATCATAAGGGCAGATGAAACGATCATCGCAAAGTTTAGGCCCTGGTAAAAGAGCTGTGAATTTAAATTCAGCGTATTAGTACAAGAGGCATTACGCTTCATAGATAGAACATTGAAAACGTGTTTAAAGGCGTATTTTACCTGTCTTTTATTCATCCGCCGCACATCTTCAAACATAGACGAGATATCGAAGAAGTCCATGATGGCGTACACGTGTAATACGCAGGCGCATGGGCTCTCCTTGGAATACATAACGGGTAAACCCGTGGGTTTCACGGGACAACATTGTCTTAGACAACAAATTATTGCTGGCGGATCGGCGGATCGGTAAGCCCCTGGATTACTACAAACGAGCGATGTATTGTCCATTCCTTGACCATTTGCTTTCGGAGTTTGATTCGTGCAAGATCCTCCGGCCACAATTGTTGAAACGCTTCCTCACTGTCACCCACAAGAGTTCCCAAATTTATCCAGGGCATTTACGGCACTTTAAAGCAATCACTACAGCAACTATAGAGAGGTCTTTCAGTGCACTAAGAAAACCTACCTGAGGTCCACGATGAAAGAAGATCGCTTGAGTGGACTTGCTCTTCTGCATATCCACAAGCATGATGCATCATTCAGTGCGGAAGACATCGTTGACGATTTTGCAGCATCCGGAAATAGAAGGAAGGAACTTCTTTTTCAGCTATTCGGATTGACTGTAACAAGTATCGGCGGAGAATGGCGATTTTTTATTGTGGTACCGAGATCAATATCTTGAAGTTTAGATACTTACTCCAGATTCAACTAACTACGCATACAATTAACAGTCGTGAGGATCTGATCTGTCCACTGTATTACCGGGTCACCTTAGAGACGGGCCTACAACAAGTCAAAAAGCTGGCTACGCCCCTGTCTACTGTCCGCAGTGATTGTGATATGTTAATGATAGTAAGGGGAGGTAGGGGGGTTAATATGACTTTTTTTTTAAGAGAGTATAACATGTTTATTGTGCTAAGTTCATGCTTACTGTATCTCATAATGTTAATCTAGTCATATATAGCAATATAGCAATTTATATATAGAGATCAAATACACAAAAAACTTAAATTGAATGTTTTTGGAATAAAAATGTTTACGTTGAACTTGTTGCGAACCTTGTTCATTTTGTCACCATAAGAATTGTAGACAATTTATGCTGCTTACTGCAGCAGTATAATTAGACCAGGAAATGGAACACAATCAAAATATGATTGCATTGCTGCCCGTTAATGGTCAACGCCCCATATGGATCAAATTTCATGACCATTCTGGACTTTTTCATCAGTCGTGACTGTCTGCATTATTAGTCACGTGCTGGCAAATTGCTTCACATCACTTTCATTTTCTACAGTTCCGCTTTTTCATCGCACCGTACTATCTGAAATCTCGTGTTTTATTAAATCGAATTTCCCTGGATTCTTTTGGAAAAGGTGAGTGATTTTACGTTGGATATTCAGCTTAAAATAGCTTCAATAGTTTTGCACAATAGGGTGTGCTGGCCGTTAGATCTACTCGGTTAATAAAGTCCATCTGAGTGAAGGGTTTTAACATAACGACGTGTTCGGTTCGACGTTTGATGCCTCGGCATACATAACTATCGCTACTATCTTGAGTACTGTTCGGTGCGTGGTGTAGAATTTGTGGTGAAGAAAAAGAGTTCATTTGTTATGACTTTCTTGTTCTTCGAAACCGTTATAATGTTCACCAGACAACATTTGCCGTGAGTACACTTCCTTGGACATCGGCGGGATTATTGAAGACTGGATTATCATGACCGTTTATGGTCGCTCTGTCGCTAAAATACGTGCATAAAGGGATCGTTACCATCCCATAGCCTGAATAATACGTCGATCGCAGTGGGTCAATCGTTGTCCACGATCAATACGAAAAATTTTTTTCATGTTTGGAACACTACCAAATCATCATTTGCAATTATTTGTGTACTGTGATGTCTGGGTCATCATTCGTAAATTTCATTCCTGTCAGTCCTAAAAGTGGCTGAGGTACAAAATTCCGCCAAAGAGAACGGCCAAAGAGGGAGAGGTTTCATTTGAATGGTATCACTATTACTAGGCATACAAGCCTGGGAACGAGGACATATATTTCAAGTCGTTTCTCGTTACTTTTCAGGTGGAGTTAGGCGACATCTGGACCTCACGTTAGCTTCCCACCCAGAATCGCGTTCTTAGGGCTTCGTCACGCGTTCACATCGTCTGCGTACGTATTCCATTAAAAGGACCACAGGTACGAATTAAAACGACGGGTAATCTCACCATAACTTACGGTGTGGAAGGGCATTTTTGGGATTCAGGAAATGACCAAAATACGGTACGGGATTCGGGAAAACGCAAAATATCTTAGCGGGAAACAGGATTCGTCTGATACCCGGGAAGCGGGATTCATTACAATTTGAGCAGGGAACGGGATTTTCTTGCCTGTCTGTCGGCAATTGAAGAAGTCGTACGTTCTAGCAGCACATGCGAAACAACTAGGCGAACGTTCACTAGTTTCTCCTAGTATGAAAGCAAACTATAAAGTGACGTAGGTAATGATTATTTAATTGAAACTGTCAAGTAATCATGATCAACAGACGAGCGGACAGAAGACCCACTGACCCCAATGTCAATTAAAAAGGGCCAATATACACCTTACATTTATTGGTTTTTAAAGAAATTATTCCTTTTTAACGCTTGTAATTTGGAGACAAAAACGGGATTCGGGAAAGCGATGAAAAAAATTGCGAGATGCGGGATTTTCGTGAAAAAGGAGCTCCCTTCCTTCTAGACCCTGATAACTCGGTCTAGGAGTGAACGGGATAAATGCGAAGATAAATTTTCGTGTACTTTTTTAAAGACACTCTTTTCGCGCACTCTTTTCCTGTCTATGGGACAGTAGTACTACCCGTGACATCGCCACCCTACCCTTCTCGACTCCAGAGCCAGCTTATTTTTTTGGCGAGGGGGAAGCTCTGGAGTCTTCAATGCTTGCATATGGAAAAAACAGGCTATTCCAAACAAACAGGATTTATCTCATTCCTGCTTTTTATCTTTCTTTTACTTCAAGTAATATTACCTCCAGAATATCTGTTACCCTCAACTTTCCATTCAATTGAAACACTAGTTGAAACGGCCTAGAACACAAAAAAATATTATTGTACTGCATTTATTCAAATAGACTTTTAGTTTTCACTGGTTGGTTTTAAAAATGGAGCCGGAGATACTGACATCGAATGATAACATACTTATCAGTTTATGATCTAATAGACGCCTCCACTCATATAAACGCCTGTTGTCCACCCCGCCCCCCGCCCCGACGCTTTTAGGTTTGTATTGGACGCCTCTCTCTAATGAGCACCGCTTGTCTAATAGACGCCATTCCATGATAATTACTCCAGAATACTAGGAAAAGTGACATAGAGCAAAATAGACCAATAAACTGCAATTCAGTTTCTTGCTCAATTAACAAGGGTTTCCACATTGCATTTTGTTCCAGTGATAAAAACGCTCTTTGATATTCTTGATGCGCTCAATACGTAAGCAACTTTCTCCTGGCCTGTTCTGGTTCGGCAGCATTAAGAAATGACAAGATCCACTTCCCTGGTCGTCTCTCAGTCTCCTATCAATATTAACGAGAGAAGCGGTGAGAGAACCAGGGGTGATAGGAGAGAGTCTCTCCCTTTCGTTTTCCCATCAACCCTCGCTCTCCCTCCAGTCACGTGTGCGATCCAAATAGAGACGACTAAGGAGGAGTCAGCCTCCTGTCTATCTCCCCACCCCTCCCAAACCCTTGGAACCTTAAACAAAACTTTAAAGCAGGTCATGAGCAAGGCATTAGGGAAGCAAGTTGTGTACTTAGTCAACTTATCCTGCCGTCTCTTATTTAACAGAGTTTATAATCAGCTACTAGATTTTCACAATGTTTAATCTGCGATTGCTGTGCCCATCACCGGTCTCTAGTTCACATTTTCAATATGAATAAGTAAACAACCTATTTTTGACCTGACTGAAAATAAGTTAAAAGCAACTGAACTACTTCAGACTCTGCTACATAGGATTTGATTTGGTTCCAATAGGACTGCGGCAGATTTTCAAAAACGAATGGGATTTCCTCTATAAAGCAACGTCAATTGGAGAATGGAAAGATACGGCACAAAGTGGCCTTGATTTCTTCAACAATGAATCTAAAGCAAGTCACAAGAAAAACGCCCGGTGTCTGGCAACAATCCACAATGGTAACACGACAGAGTGGGACTGCACCTGTTTGTTTTTTGCCATCCTCTACTCAGACACCGTTGGCACCACTTTAGGCCCAGCTGTCCGTAAAGAGGTCGATGATATTCGCCAAGTGCGAAATGAGATTGCTCATATCACCGAGGCTAAGTTGACAGATGCCGACTTTCAACTTTCTGTAGATAAAGTGGTGAACGCTTTTACATCCCTTGGTCTTTCTTTAACTGAGATTCAAGAAATAAAGAACCAGACAACCTTTCCAACGAAGGAAGTGGAAAATATTAAGAACCACGCTCGTGATCTCCAAGCCGAGTTAGATCAGACAAAAAGCACTCTTCAAAGTACAGAAGCTGCCCTGGTTTCTACAAAAGAAGAAAACAAATCTCTCACACAGGAAATAAGTGCGAAACTTCAGTCATTTTGTATTCTCGCATCACGTCCACCACATGTTATCATTAGGCGCTCGCATGATATTGAAAGAATCACTAAGAAAATGAAGGAACTTTACAATGATTCCAGCGGAGCAGTCAGTACAGTGTTTTTGTCAGGTAATCCAGGATGTGGCAAGACCCAACTTGCCTGGGAAATTGGACAACAGCTCTTTTCTGAACAAAACAATGATCTTATCTTTGTTGCGACACTGAACACAGAAAGCATTGAGACACTTGTTGACTCTTACCTCACCCTTGGAAGACACCTAGGGATAACAGAATACGCGTTGACAAGCTTAGATTCTTTAAAAAAAGTGAAACCTATTCAAGCAATTAAACAGCTCCATCGCTTGATTATGACGAAGACCAGCAAGTTTATCAAATGGTTGATAATAGCAGACAATGTGATTAACTTAAGCTTAGTCCGCGACTTGCTTCCTCTAACTGGCAGTAAGGAATGGGGCCATGGGCTAGTGCTTATTACCACCCAAGATAGTAGTACAATTCCTCAAAACGCTCCTCACACATATCATGAATCATTAAGCAAAGGAATGAGGCGGGACGAGGCAGTGGAATTGCTGGAAACAGTATCGCAAATTTCAGAGCCAGTACAAGCAGAAAATGTCGCTGAACTTCTCGATTTTCAGCCACTGGCCTTAGCTGCTGCTGCTTATTACTTGCAAACTGTTGTGACCAGTGGGTCTTCTAACTATAATTGGAAAGCATACCTTCAAGACATATCAACATACAGCCAGCGAAAAACGACCGAAAGTGTCCTTGCTAATGAGAGTTCAGCCTACCCTAAAACAACAATGGCCGCAGTAGAAATGGCTATCCAAAGAGCTGCTGAAACAGACGACGAGGTTCTTCGTCATACATTCTGTTTTCTTTCGCTCTGCGCTAATGACGACCTACCACTCGAAACTGTTTTAAAGTTCGTCAAAGCCCAAGTAAAAGACCAGCAAGAGGTTTTAATGAAGGCAAAGATTGTAAAGTCCTCTTTAATTCTTGTTCATTCCGAAGAAGGGGGTGAACGAACTTATTTACGTTTACATAAAGTTGTGCATGAAGCTTTAAAACGAGGCGAGTTAGCTTACCTGAAATCATTTAAGAGTGACCACACTATGGCAGAAGCGGTAAAGATTTTCAACTCCCAACTCAAAGAAAATGAAAGGGATTATGCGTTTTGTAAAAAATTGAGGCCCCACTGTGAATCTTTACTTAAGCAGATGACGTCAAAGTTTAGTTTGGATCACAGCACTTTTTTAGAAAGGTTTGCACCCTTCGTAGATTTGGATACAGTAATTGATTGGCTACATACTCTCGCCTTGCTCTGTCAAAAAAGCTCCCATTTCGTCTTTGCGAAACTTGTGGCCAACTTAGCATACGATCTACTGGAGAACTTAGACGACACTTTCACGGATGCGTTTACTCGTAAATGGGAGGTTTTAAATGTGAGTGGCGAAGTATACAACAGGCTGGGAGAATACAATCAAGCAAAAGAACTTCACGAAATAGCACTGATGATTTCCAAAAAGATTTTTGGTGAAGATCATGCCGATGTAGCAACAAGTTATCACAACTTGGCATCCGTGTACGATGGACTGGGACAATACAAACAAGCCAAAGAATTTCACGAAAAAGCACTGATGATTTCCAAAAAGATTTTTGGTGAAGATCATGCCGATGTAGCAACAGGTTATAACAACTTGGCATCAGTGTACAACAACCTGGGAGATTACAATCAAGCCAAAGAACTTCACGAAAAAGCACTGACGATTCGCGGAAGGATTTTTGGTGAAGATCATGCCGATGTAGCAGCAGGTTATAACAACTTGGCATCAGTGTACAACAGCCTGGGAGAATACAATCAAGCCAAAGAACTTTTCGAAAAAGCACTGACAATATGCGAAAAGATTTTTGGTGAACAACATGCCGATGTAGCAACAACTTATAACAACTTGGCAGCAGTGTACAACAGCCTGGGAGAATACAATCAAGCCAAAGAACTTCACGAAAAAGCACTGACGATTCTTGAAAAGATTTTTGGTGAAGATCATGCCGATGTAGCAACAAGTTATAACAACTTGGCATTAGTGTACAACAGCCTGGGAGAATACGATCAAGCCAAAGAACTTCACGAAAAAGCACTAACGATTCGCGAAAAGATTTTTGGTGAAGATCATGTCGATGTAGCAGCAAGTTATCAAAACCTGGCATTCGTGTACAACTGCCTAGGAAAATACAGTCAAGCCAAAGAACTTCACGAAAAAGCACTGATGATTTCCAAAATGATTTTTGGTGAAAATAATGCCAATGTAGCAACAAGTTATAACAACTTGGCATTAGTGTACGAGAGCCTGGGAGAATACAATCAAGCCAAAGAATTTCACGAAAAAGCACTGACGATTAACCGAAAGATTTTTGGTGAAGATCATACCACTATAGCAACAAGTTATATCAACTTGGCATCAGTGTACGAGAGCCTGGGAGAATACAATCAAGCTAAAGAACTTCAAGAAAAAGGACTGACGATTTCCCAAAAACTTTTTGGTGAAGATCATGCCGATGTAGCAACAAGTTATAACAACTTGGCATCAGTCTACAACCGCCTGGGAGAACACAATCAAGCCAAAGAACTTTGCGAAAAAGCACTGACGATTCGCGAAAAGATTTTTGGTGAAGATCATGGCGATGTAGCAGCAAGTTATAACACTTTGGCATTAGTGTACAACAGCCTGGGAGAATACAATCAAGCTAAAGAACTTCATGAAAAAGCACTGATGATTTCCACAAAGATTTTTGGTGAAAATCATGCCCATGCAGCAACAAGTTATAACAACTTGGCATCAGTGTACGACGACCTGGGAGAATACAATCAAGCCAAAGAACTTTATGAAAAAGCACTGACGATTCGCAAAAAGATTTTTGGTGAAGATAATGCCCATGTAGCAACAAGTTATAACAACTTGGCATCAGTGTACGACGACCTGGGAGAATACAATCAAGCCAAAGAACTTTACGAAAAAGCACTGACGATTCGCAAAAAGATTTTTGGTGAAGATCATGCCGATGTAGCAGGAAGTTATAACCATTTGGCGGTAGTGTACAAAAGTCTGAAAGAGTACAATCAAGCCAAAGAACTTTACGACAAAGCACTGACGATTCGCAAAAAGATTTTTGGTGAAAATCATGCCGATGTAGCAACAAGTTATAACAACTTGGCAGCAGTGTACAACAGCCTGGGAGAATACAATCAAGCCAAAGAACTTCTCGAAAAAGCACTGACGATTCGCGAAAAGATTTTTGGTGAAAATCATGCCGATGTAGCAACAAGTTATAACAACTTGGCAGCAGTGTACAACAGCCTGGGAGAATACAATCAAGCCAAAGAACTTCACGAAAAAGCACTGACGATTCTTAAAAAGATTTTTGGTGAAAATCATGCCGATGTAGCAGCAAGTTATAACAACTTGGCAGCAGTGTACAACAGCCTGGGAGAATACAATCAAGCCAAAGAACTTCACGAAAAAGCACTGACGATTCTTAAAAAGATTTTTGGTGAAGATCATGCCCATGTAGCAACAAGTTATAACAACTTGGCAGCAGTGTACAACAGCCTGGGAGAATACAATCAAGCTAAAGAACTTCACGAAAAAGCACTGACGATTCGCGAAAAGATTTTTGGTGAAGATCATGTCGATGTAGCAGCAAGTTATCAAAACTTGGCATTCGTGTACAACTGCCTGGGAAAATACAGTCAAGCCAAAGAACTTCACGAAAAAGCACTGATGATTTCCAAAATGATTTTTGGTGAAAATAATGCCAATGTAGCAACAAGTTATATCAACTTGGCATCAGTGTACGAGAGCCTGGGAGAATACAATCAAGCTAAAGAACTTCAAGAAAAAGGACTGACGATTCTTAAAAAGATTTTTGGTGAAGATCATGCCCATGTAGCAACAAGTTATAACAACTTGGCATCAGTCTACAACAGCCTGGGAGAACACAATCAAGCCAAAGAACTTTGCGAAAAAGCACTGACGATTCGCAAAAAGATTTTTGGTGAAGATCATGGCGCTGTAGCAGCAAGTTATAACACCTTGGCATTAGTGTACGACAGCCTGGGAGAATACAATCAAGCTAAAGAATTTCATGAAAAAGCACTAATGATTTCCACAAAGATTTTTGGTGAAAATAATGCCCATGTAGCAACAAGTTATAACAACTTGGCATCAGTGTACGACGACCTGGGAGAATACAATCAAGCCAAAGAACTTTACGAAAAAGCACTGACGATTCGCAAAAAGATTTTTGGTGAAGATCATGCCGATGTAGCAGGAAGTTATAACGATTTGGCAGTAGTGTACAAAAGTCTGAAAGAGTACAATCAAGCCAAAGAACTTCTCGAAAAAGCACTGACGATTCGCAAAAAGATTTTTGGTGAAAATCATGCCGATGTAGCAACAAGTTATAACAACCTGGCAGCAGTGTACAACAGCCTGGGAGAATACAATCAAGCCAAAGAACTTTACGAAAAAGCACTGACGATTCTTGAAAAGATTTTTGGTGAAGATCATGCCGATGTAGCAATAAGTTATAACAACTTGGCATTAGTGTACAAAAGCCTGGGAAAATACAGTCAAGCCAAAGAACTTCACGAAAAAGCACTGACGATTTCCAAAAAAATTTTTTGGTGAAAATAATGCCAATGTAGCAACAGGTAATAACAACTTGGCAATAGTGTACGACAAGCTAGGAGAATACAATCAAGCCAAAGAACTTTACGACAAAACACTGACGGTTTACCAAAAGATTTTTGGTGAAGATCATGCCGCTGTAGCAACAAGTTACAACAACCTAGCATCACTGTACGAGAGCCTGGGAGAATACAATCAAGCCAAAGAACTTCAAGAAAAAGCACTGATGATTTACGAAAAGATTTTTGGTGAAGATCATGGCGATAGCAGCAAGGTTATAACAACTTGGCATTAGTGTACGACAGCCTGGGAGAATACAATCAAGCTAAAGAACTTCATGAAAAAGCACTGATGATTTCCACAAAGATTTTTGGTGAAAATAATGTGCATGTAGCAACAAGTTATAACAACTTGGCATCAGTGTACAACGACCGGAGAGAATACAATCCAGCCAAAGAACTTTACGAAAAAGCACTGACGAATCGCAAAAAGATTTTTGGTGAAGATCATGCCGATGTAGCAACAAGTTATAACAATTTGGCAGTAGTGTACAACAGCCTGAAAGAGTACAATCAAGCCAAAGAACTTGCCTTAAAAGCACTGAGGATTCGCAAAAAGATTTTTGGTGAAGATCATGCCGATGTAGCACTACAAGTTATAACAACTTGCCATTAGTGTACAACAGCCTGGGAGAATACAACCAAGCCAAAGAACTTGACAAAAAAGCACTGATGATTTCAAAGAAGATTTTTGGTGAAGATAATGCCTATGTAGCAACAAGTTATGACAACTTGGCATCAGTGTACAACAGCTTGGGAGAATTCAATCAAGCCAAAAAACTTACGAAAAAGCACTGACGATTCGCGAAAGGATTTTTGGCGAAGGTCATGCCCATGCAGCAACAAGTTATGACAACTTGGCATTAGTGTACGATGACCTGGGAGAATTCAATCAAGCCAAAGAACTTTACGACAAAGCACTGACGATTTACCAAAAGATTTTTGATGAAGATCATTCCAATGTAGCAACAAGTTATCACAACTTCGCATTCGTGTACGACGGCCTGGGAGAATACAATCAAGCCAAAGAACTTCACGAAAAAGCACTGACGATTCGCGAAAAGATTTTTGGTGAAGATCATGCCGATGTAGCAGCAAGTTATAACAACTTGACCTCAGTGTACAAGAGCCTGGGAGAATACAATCAAGCCAAAGAACTTTACGAAAAAGCACTGACGATTCGCGAAAAGATTCTCGGTGAAGGTAATGCCTATTTAGCAACAAGTTATAACAATTTGGCAGTAGTGTACTACAGCCTGAAAGAATACAATCAAGCCAAAGAACCCGACGAAAAAGCACTGACTATTTGCGAAAAGATTTGGTGAAGATCATACCCATGTAGCAACAAGTTATAGCAACTTGGCAGCAGTGTACAACAACCTGGGAGAATACAATCAAGCCAAAGAACTTTACGAAAAAGCACTGATGATTGGGAAACAAATTTTCGGTGATTATCATAAGTAGTTAGAAAGAATTCGTAGTGAGCTGGCATTAGTAAACAAACAACTTGTAAGCAGTCGACCTGAGGATCGGGAAGAGAAAGCACGTTGTTTGATCCTATAAATTGACTTAATTGGTAATACCAGCCTACGTAGCAGTCGCTTTTGTCTTCTCTTAGCCAAATAAGGTGATTCCTTTTTCTTCCCTGCTCCTTCCCTTTGTTCTTTCTTTTGTTTTGCCCCTTCTTATGCTCCCTAATCCCTCGCTTTGACCAGGGTTGTCCCTGGTCAAAGGTCAAGTTTTCATTGGCAGCTTGAGGAAATATACCTTTCATAAGATTATCCAATGACGTCTTCCCAGGCCGTCTCGGTCAAACTGTCTTTATGCGCTTGTTTGCTACCTAGTACAAGATAGAGATTAGAGAGATTAAAGGAGCTGTCTCATGAAATTCAGCCAAATTAGGAAATTACAAAATGCCCGTTAAATTACGAGAAACTTAAAAATAACCGCCTAAAACATTAAAAGAAGGTTAAAATAACACAACAGATACAACAGCTGCCACGGATGGGCAAAACTGAAGAAGATTGAAACGGATTGAAATTAGGGTTTTTGAAAACTGTTCAGCCTAACAGTTTTTCAAAGTTGATCCCTGCTGCTTGCAACTTCAAAAAGAATGCTCTGGAGACATATTTGTTTGTCTCAGATCTCTGATTTTGTCATTTACATGTAATTTTTTTGCTTACTTTAAGTTCCATAGCGATTAAGGACGAGTTATTAGCAAAATTAAACAAAATGAACTGGACTGCCGTGACACAGCCTCTTTAAGATTCACGCTTGCGGCAAACGGCAAACGTCAGATTCAAGTTGAGAATTTCTCAGAATGAAAAACAGGCAGATAAAAACTGTCCAGAACAATTTTTATGGAGAAAACTGGCTTGAAACTACTTATTTTGGGGCAGAAGTAATAAATAACTTGGTCACGTGGAACAAATTCACGTTTGCCTTTTTGCGTAAACGTGAATCTTAATCTCTCTACTGTTAGAAACACCGCCAACCCAGCTGTTCCAAAGCCGATTAGCTTTTGGTTTCTATTTCTATTGTTTAAAAGCATTTTGTCCGATAATTTTCTCTATTCTTTATAGAGCATCCAACTCAAATTGTAGACAAACGAATTTCTATGAATTTACTTTTTAAGCTTTCCTATCTGAATTGAAATTACGCACAAACCCTGGGTTATCTTAACCCAGCTTCGAACAACCCGACGCGCCCTGCCTCCGAGTCTTTGCGGCACACAAGGTACCCAAACCCTCAAGGCCACGTGACTACGGGCTCCGAGGAAAAGAGTGGGATCAGTGCAAGACTCTGGTTCACTAAGAGACTGTGCCATAATTACTAGTTATAGCTATCGCTAAGTTCCAACAACGGGCAAAGATTTTACCTATACGCGTGCGTTGTTTAGTTTGTTTAGAAATGTCATGAATTACCGTAATGTACGAAAAACAGTTTGAACTCTATTCGATTGCATGAACGAAAATTACCTTGAAAATAGTGAACTTAACTGTTCTGCTGCATAAAGATTTTGAAATTCCAACTTTACATAGCATATATTGTCCGAAAATACGCAGAGGTCATTTTGCGTAAAATTTAGTTGTCTTATAAACGAGCTTAGAATCCTCGAAAAATCATAAGTCCGCGAATATTCAACGTGCAGATTTATATTTGGTCTTTATTTCAAGCTTAGGAACTCTACTTTTCAGGAAAAAAAAGATTTATCGTGCGCCGATGAAACTTTCCGAATTATTTTGCTTCAAAGACATACATGTAAACACGGATATACAGTCAGTGTATTTGGGTACAATATTTTGAACTCAATTCGATTGCATGACCAAAAATTACCGCTTGAAAATGGTAAATTAAATTCTTTACTGCATAAAGAATTTGAAATACTGACTTTACAGCACATTTTCTTATATTGTTTGTTCTGCATTACGTCATAAAAGTTACCTTACACTACCTTATGTTATTCGAGATTCATTCTGCCTTCTTGGAACCACCCTCGTACCCAGCGTCTTCGTTCCCCTTGATCAGCGTCAAGCCAGCATGCGCAGTAAGGGACGAAGACTGGAGGTACGAGATTGCCTTGGAACTTTCGCGCACGGCTTTATTAGGCTACCGCCTCGCAGCCTGCTCGTTGGCAATCAGAAAAGGGAAGGGGGGGTGGGGCTGAAAAATTAGCCTGACATAGATTGATATTACTTAGCGGCACCTCCTAGCAAAGGCAAGTTAGCTCTGACCCCCCTCCTGGTTGCTTAAGAATACCGACCAGCCCCTCCACTCCTCGACTTTCATCTACAGTTTCTCTCCTTATGTCGTACTATAACGTTCTTTTTAACGGCTGCATCTCAAACATTATCTCAAAACCAGGCTGGATAAAGGTTCCTGCTTAAAACTACGCAGTGAGGTAGTGAGACAACCATTTCAGAACAGTCCGATTGCGCATCGTCTTTTGAATTCTCCTGTGAATCACTGGATTCAAGTTTTAAGTCAATTGCGTCATTACCCTCGATTCAGTTCAGGGCCCAGTTGTTCGAAGCCCAATTAGCGCTAACCCAGGGTTAAAGTTTAACCCCGGTTTCTTTTTCTTTTGTTCAAAAGTATTTTTTAGGGTAATTTCCTGTCTTCTTTTTAGAGTATCCAATCATCAAATTGTTGGCAGAAAGAATAAAACTGAATTTGCTTCTCAAGCTTTCATATCTGAAATCAAATTTCGCACTAACCCTGGGTTAACTTAACCCTTCTTTGAACAACCCGGCCCTGGTTGAGTCATGATGACCAGCACGAACAAAACTCAGAACGTGAGCTACTAGTCTCTCTTCCCCTCTTCGATCTTTTTAGCGTCATGTTTTCGTCATGATTGTCATGTGATCGAACAGGTCATCCTCGTATGCTGCTATTCGCACAATTTCATGTTTGCTGTGGTTCACCTGGCACTCCCTTTTGGCTGAAAATGTCTTTACATTTTTAAAAACGTAATTACTACCAGAGGGGACACATTAGCTGTTTGTTACCTTTGTCTCGTTAAACGAGACACTCCCTTTTTAAAACCCTGGACACATTCCTGTTCTGTTAAGTAGAAATAAGTTGAAATATCATGTAACCAGAATTGTTCATGGCTTTGGTACTAATCATTGCTACCTTTTAGTTATATTTTGATCACGTATAAATCATGTATTGTTGATATCAAATCACCCCCAAAGTTGTGAGACAGCTTGCCCACAAGAAAACTAGAAACCAACCTCTTTTGAGCTATGATTTTACATGGTGTCTCCCCCTCTGGTTTTTACACCCCCCCTTCCCTCCCTGGTAATTATTGCACAGATCCTAATGAACCAAAGAATGCGAGGAACCTATCGAGTCAAGCTTGTACACGATGGGTTTCTCTTTAAAATCATTGGCTCTCTACAGATTTATTCCCCTCTCGGACTAACTTTTTCTATCAATCGCGTCTGGTCTGAATCTCAGCATATCTGTTCTACGTACAAAATGAGACTTAAAAGTGTTTCCGGCGCCCTTTTTTTAACAATCGGGCCCCTGAATCAATAAAATTTCGGCACTAAGTCCTGTATTTGGGCGATAAAAATGCAAATTGCACCTTTTCTGGTCAAAAGCCTTATTTCCGTTTATTTCTGCCTTTTTCGTCCAAATCTAGCCAAGATATCATTCAAGCAAAAAATGGTTCCATAGGCTACGGGCAAACGGACGCAACAACTCCCATCATCGTTGGTCCAACAATGTTTCGTCCGTTTGCACGAGGCCATAAGCTCGTAGTCATTGCCAATAAATGTGAGAACTCTTGGATTTTCCGAATGTTTTAAATAAACAAATTTTTTTCTGGGGGTTTGGATTGGGGGGAGGGGTTGGGGGAGAGAGAAATGTTAAAAATTATGCAAAATATTGGATCTGGGTGTTGTTGAAAATTAAAATATGAAGGGAATAACGATTACAGCCAAATTGCACGCCACTCAGTTCAGTTACCATCATGAATGTGGCTTTTCAAAAACACGCCAACTCTGAAGTTCAAAAGCCGCCTTCACAATTGCGTTTTTCGCTGCCCTCAATCATAATTACTATAACAAGGAACGGACCTTGAAAAACAGAAAACCACTCGTAATCCAACAATTACGAATTATTACCTTTTGAACATGTTAAAGTAAACTTCTGTTTCCCAAGAGGTCCACTAAGATGATTGACGGTAGCGAAGAACGCAAACGTCAGTTGGCTTTGGACTTCATAATTCGCGTGTTTTTGAAAGGCGCAGTTAAATACGAATCCGGTCAATGTAAAACACAGACTGTAAAATGCAGACTGCACAGTGAGAGTAAAATGCAGGCTGGGGGTAAAATGCAGAATTAAGATCGACTGTAGACTTTTTAAACATTTGTGCTCCCTCTTCTCCGAATAGGTGAATTATAGCCTGCAGAGCAGGAGTTTTATTGTATTGAATCATTTTTTGACTCGCCCCAACTCTCGGTCAGTCAAAAGTCCAAATCGATCGCACAGCAAAATACGCCTGCTTTGCAGGCTAGGTGAATTAACTAGCTGGTATCAGTTACACACCTCGCTTCCTTGTCGAAGTACATTGCACATTCGCCAGAAGTTTCAATGAACATCCGAACAAATTACGTCCGCGTACCTTGATTTGCAGTACTTTCATAGAAGGTCATCCAAATTTCCTGCAGAACATCTTTATTTGTTGTTGGAATGATTTACTCCCATTTCTTTCTGTACAGTATTTTGGGTCATCAGCTTTTATTTAAGCGTCAACATTGTGTTGTACAAATTCACGGTCACGTGTATCGAAAACTGGGGCGTGAGGTCTCTCGGACAATAGATAATAGAAAGTAAAGTCTACCTATTATGTATGCTCGGACGGGAAAAAAGGTTCAAGATTGCGATTATGTTTTTGGGTCGTCGACGAAGTTCAAGAGAAGAATGAATGGATTTGTGATAGCAGATATATGTCGTCAAGTAAGTGTTTGTTTACGTGTATTTTGCGGGATTTTATTTGCCCTGAAACTCTTCCGCGACTACAGTTTATGCTCGGTCTGCATTTTACCCCAGCCTGCGTTTTACTCTCAGTCTGTAGTCTTCATTTCACACTCAGTCAGCAGTTTACCCCTGGTCCGCAGTTAGCCTGCGTAGCTGGCGGTATTGTGTAGTAGTCGAGTGAGATTTGGCGGCGGAGCCGTTGTAATATAGTTGAGTGAGATTTGACGCCGGAGCGGTCACGAGCAGCGAAGCCGCGTTCAACCGCCTCGTCCCTACTCCCTTTTTTTGGAACACGGCTCCGCCGCCAAAACTTTAATCTCGCACCCACACAATACCGCCAGCTACGCAGGCTATCCGCAGTCTGCGTTTTACACTGACAGAATAAGAATCACAACTTTAAGACAAAGTTGGTAAGGTTTGTTTTATTCGATACGATAAATATCTGTAAAAGAAGGTCAGGCCCACCGAATAAATTATCTGACCACATAACACAGGATTCACATCTTAATATAAATCTAACAACAGCATTACAGGCTGCATTTCCTGGTACAAGTTATTCTGCAAAGTCAAGTGTCTGTAGTCTAAAAATCACAAAGTTCATCACATTGCTTTAAGCATAAGCTATAACTAGATTTACGTCTGTCTGTACTGTACACTACTTTCCTAATCTAACAGGAAGTGTAATTAAAGCAAAGATTTATTTCTTTAAGTCGATTTAGTTGACCCTCTCCAACTGTTGTCAAGAACCGCAAGACAACAACTTAGGACCTTATAAAACAAGGTAGATTGTTCTTTTCATTAAAACTAATATTTAGATTGCAATTCGTACCCTCCACGGAATACCGACATGCGACAAATTCACCACTTTTTCAGTCAAGACACATATTTCGGCATTAACAGGCACACTGAAGAATTGAGCCCTTCCCATCTTCCTTCTATGATTGGGGCTAAGCACTAGCCCCTATATGAAGGATCTTCACAAAAACACTGGGAGAAGGAAGGGGTGGGGGCCGGAGCCAAGAAATGACAACAGCACTTCTACAAGTTGTACTATAAGTTAAATTTGAGGTGATGTGACCAGGTTGTGCTTCTCCTTAAAAAAGAAAAATGACAGAAATGGGCCAGGCCTACGTAAAAAGGACATGAAAAAAGCCTCTCTCTAGCCTGCGGGCAAACTCTCTGCGGGGAAGCTTTGAGGGCTCTTTTTTTTCACCCACGCGCCCATAGAGCGTCCCCCCAGAGAGCTTGTTTGCAGCTTGCCTTTCTCGTACTGCTTACGCGAGCGCTGATCACTTTAAAGGAAAATACTCGAGCAACATTTACGGTTGAAGAATAGAATTCACTCTATTTTTGTGTCATTATTCAAAGCCGTCAATCGAATAACGCGATGTCCCTTCTAAAAGGTTAAGTAAAAATCTACAAAACTCACAAAATTCAACAAAGAATGGACAACAGAGAGAGAGAACGAGGAAGAAAATGAATGATCTTATGAGGCAAGCTCGTCTCTAAGAACTGTTTTTGTAACTTTGGTGCTATCGCTAGCTTAAGAAACTGGTAATTGTCTATTTCTCATGATTTTAATCCAGGCGAAAGAAAACCCGTTGTGGCAGGCCGAGAACAAATTCATTCGGATGGCCGAGAAATGTATCAAAATTAGAAGTCAATATGAATGTAGTGCTATTTACAATACACAGTCTAGAAAGGACCGCAAGACAGAAGGGTACGGACAAGAAATTAGCGGATGTAAATTCAAGAAACGAAGCCGAGTTGCACTTAACCGACTCACTCGGTCTCCTGCTTGCTAATCAGGGTGCAAAGAAAGTCAGTTTTACAGCCTGCCATTCGGGCAAGCTGTAGATAGCATGTACTAGCCCAAAAGTCATTTCAACTAGCCCCAAAACCCTTTTTGATTGGCAGGATTGATAACAATCCTTCTGTAATTTGAATATCCCAAAAAAACAGCACTTGCCCGTCGGGCAAATTAAGAACAAAAAACACTAGCCCGATAGCAAAATCCACTAGCCCCGGGCTATCGGACACGACTTTCTTTGCACGCTGCTAATACAAGTCAGTTAACCCGAAATCCACTTTTTGATGTAAAGGGACGCACCCTAGAAATTGTTTGCGGATTTAAACTTCTGAGAAGTCGTCAGGACAGGAGCTTGTCACGCACCCTAACTGTCACGCCATCCTTTGACCGTTCATCACGCTAGTTTGAATTACTGACTGATAGGAAAAGAACAATACAGTGTGGGTTCTACGAAGCAGCCTTCTGTTCACTTTCTTTGCTGTCGTTTTGTGTAACCTCTTGCTTGTCCTTTTTATCCTTATCCCACTTGACGGAGTATTTGTTGTGCTCGATGGCGGCGCTCGTGACAACTTCGCAGGTGGTTGTACAGGGATGGAGCCCGTCTACTTTACCAAGAAGCCAGTCACGACATCGACCCTCCTGGTCTCCTGTCACGTTACTTTTCACCCAGTCACTTAGCCATGATTGGAATCTGGAGTGAAGACGATTGGCCACTACCGGGTGACACTGTCAAACAAACAAACAAACAAACAAACAAAAAATAAATAAATAAATGACAAGCCCAAGACAAAGAAAACAATAACAGTCCCAGCCCAAGGGGTGGTGGGGGAACGGATTTCAAGTGACGAGGAAGATCGAATATGGGCAAAAGTCAAAACCCCCCCAAAAAAAAAAAATCCTGGACCAGAAATTTACCTCCAAAAAATTCCATGATGAATTTCCGAGCCTTAAAAATTTCCAGGAAGCATTAAATAACACAGCACGGGGAAAAAAATGTTTAATCGAATATTCGTGTTTGTTTAATCATCATGCCATCTGAAGTTACTTTTCCGCATCTGGTAGCCATTCTAACAACTTTCGAGACACCCAAGAGCATCTGCTGTTTCAACAATAACACTATGCAGAAAGACAGCTCTAAGCAAGACCACCCCGGTTTTATGAAACAGCTGCAATGTAATGCGTTAAATATTAAACCAGCCGCAAAACAAGTTTGGTTGTACTTTATTCGCAGAACTACGCAGCCGGGATACGCGGGCACTATCACGAATGTTCAGATTGTTCTGAATACTCACAAATTCCTACTTCAAGCCACTTCAAAAAAATTTTCCTTCCCAGAAAAATCCCGGAAACGAAAATTTCAAACCCAGAAATACTTGGATCGTCCCCCTCTCTTGAAATCCAGGTGTACCCCAAGGGAGTCCAAGTAATGCAATAGTCTATTATTATTATTAACTGGGTTAATAATGTCAATTGGCTACCCAAAGGCGATTCAAAAGTGGGCGTTTCGGGAGCCGGTCTTTCTTTAAAGCTTAGCGACTCCCCGCTCGCCGGCGGGTGCAACCTCCTTCCCTCGAATGCTCGGTCACAGAATAAAGTTCCTAACGGCAACGATAACAACTCGTACTTTTCGGTGGTAAATGGAGATTTGTCTCATCGCGTCTTTAAAATAATCGTTTACAGTGTTCGTCCGTTTCTTCCTTTTTTAGCGAAAAGGAAAGAGGCTCATTTTCTTTTCCGCGCCATCTCCCATTCTCGAATTAGATCGCAGCTGTTTGAAACAAGACTTCTGGACTAACAGCTATACACATTTTTTTACACACTTATTTTTAAAAAATGAGGAACTAACCTCCTTAGCTCTTTTCAAAGCTTGCCGTCTGTACAAGTAATCCTCGCTGCCTTTTACAAAGCGAATTTTGTACGAATTCAAGCTAAGCTTGCACTCCATTGAGTTTTCCACTTCCATGTCCTCGACCTCCTCATTTTCTTCCTCTTTTTCACTGCAAAGGAAACAAACGACGTTCGGACCCTTTAGACAGACAAGCGGTGGCAAAAAGAGCTATTAACTGTTGGTGAGTTTGTATCTCTAAGAACATAAAACGCGTAGAGGTAAACTATGAGTTTATAGAACAGAGACAAGGGTTCCTTACTATTAAAACAAACTATCCGATTCAAAAACTAGCAACTGAATTGGACCATGTGGAAAAAGGACCAAATAGAAAGTATATCCAAATCGGCTGGACAGACTAAAGGTGTAGAAATTGCATCGCCTCCAACGACAGCCTTATTTCCTTAAGCTTCCCAAAAGGAATGGGGCGAACGATTTGAATTTCCAACCAGGATTTACAGTTTCCCCCGTGTAAATGGTAAGTACCCTAGGACTCTAATCTATCCTGTTTACCAAAGATAATACAGCTTTGAAGGTCCATTTACACCCTGAAACCTCGAAAAGTAGTTTTGCCTTCTACTACTACAATCATGGCAATAGTTCACCGCGCAAGTTGGTAAACTGAACCGCTACGAGGGCAGTCGACTGTTCTTGACCTGTCACCGCTGCCTACTTCGTTTCGCTGATAATAAACAATTATTGGACGAGGGTTTTGTGATATCCGGAATAATCACGGTCGAGGTAAGTGGTATCAGCCGAGCCGAAGGCCCAGGCTGATAACACTTACCGAGACCTTGATTATATAGGATATCAAAAAGACCGAATCTAATAATTGTTTTAATAGACATTGTTTTGAAGAAAATAACGACATTCACACCGTGGCAAGGAACCTGAATTGAGATTGAGATTATTATTGAAAATCACGCATTGCGCACGCAACCTACAGATTAGTCAGTTATCTGCCAGCAGATAAATGACTTATCTGTAGGTTGCGCTGATTTCCAAAATTAGCTGTAGGCTCTTAGCCACTGAGAAGACAGCTAATGAGAACAACGTATAATAATGCCAGTTACGTGTCCCTATTCGTCATGAAAATTGAGAAATTACTCGTGAATAGCAAAATCACAGCGGCTTCGTATCAAACAATCATGTCTTCCAAGCATTATATCCAACGTTACAAACAACAACGACAACCAACTTTGAAACACTGTTAGGCTAACAACTTTTCAAAAACAATTACAATATCAATCCCTTTAACAACTGCGTCGCTGAGTGGAGGTGGGTGCCCGGGATGTCCAGGGGCTTCCACCTTTGGCACAGCCAGCCCCTAGACAGAGTTACACCCCGATGGCTGGCAAACCCGCGCCCTCCAGCCATGAGCCCCCACGCCAAAGGACCAAGGCACTCGTCACACTGATTTAACAGTGGAAGAATTCGGGGGGGGAATGGGGGTAAAATAATGATCCAAAGGCTAAAAGAAGAGACTGGCCGCCACGGAAACACTGTACTGAGCACATGGAGGCGATGCAAGCAAGGCTGACCGCGCTTGAGCCAAGCGACTGACCGCTGACCACGGTCGCGTTCCTTGTTGTTAACTGTGTTAAATAAATATTTATTTAACCTCATTTAAATCTCCTTCAAGTTTGTCCATCCGTGCCTTTTTTTGTTTTTGCTTTATTATCTAAACCTTCACTTAGTATTGTGGCGGTTTCCACTGTTTGAATTTCGATAAATTTTGTGACACTGTTCATTTACGTTACGATGGCAACGCCATTGTAAACCAGAGTCCGCAGTGAGATTCACTTTGGAACAAGGACGATACTTGTAACCAGCTTCTTTCTGAAATGATGAACACTTTAATACCTGTTATTTCCTTCACTCTCGGCCTCATCAGTTGAGGAGCCGTTATCATTCGTTGTGGACTCCTTTTCATTGTTTTGGGTGGCGGATTTCATTCGCGAGTTGGAGCGCACCGTTCTGAAACGAAACACACCAACAAGAGTCGTTTAGCGCATTGGAGAGGCCTAATAACTAACTTGATACATCGGCACCTAATGAAAGATAGCCTGCGTAGCTGGCGGTATTGTGTGGGTGCGAGATTAAAGTTTTGGCGGCGGAGCCGTGTTCCAAAAAAAGGGAGTGGGGACGAGGCGGCTCCGCCGTCAAATCTCACTCGACTATATTACAACGGCTCCGCCGCCAAATCTCACTCCACTACTACACAATACCGCCAGCTATGCAGGCTAAATGAAAGATAATACTTGCATCATGGCACTTAGTTTCTGCGGGAATAAATTTGGCAATTAGTCCAGTATACTTTTCTCAAAGAGAACAAACATGTTCTATTCTATGCAATTGCATTCAAAATTCTTGCGTTTATCTTAGTCAAAATACAGGCGCACTAAAATTCAATATTTTTTATCGCCTTTCTTAGTTATCAGAATAATAGAAATTGCAAAAATAAAGTGCCCCAAGGTTGCCCCTGTTAAATGAGAAAGCCTTTACAAAACTTTCAGACATGTGTCATGGCGTGAAGTGTCAATTTCAGCGCACAGCTGTGATGTTGTTGTGTTAAACTTGCTTGTATTAAAATAAGTCATCGAAAATGAGTGTCTTGTAGCAACATCATACATTCAGTTCCTACCTAGGTAAAAAGATAGGTTTGTTCTGTAAATGATCCTTAACTTCTGTAGACACCTCTTCGCTCCCGACAAATTTTTCCACGTATTCATTCCATTTCTGAAAAAGAGGACAGAACATTCATTCTTCTAGCCAGGTAAAAATATGAAGGGCACGTTCAGGTTTGTTCAGGACTGTAATACCCATTCATGGTTCCTTTTCTTTATGAGGCACGGCGCACCGTCCTCACATATCCGTTTTTGTTTGAGAACGAAGATTTTTTCTCCGGTTTAGCCTACCGTTCACACGTATCCGGTGAAAACGGTCACGGAAAACACATCTTTTCGAAAGCGCTCGCCGCTCAAAGATGGTGCCGTTTTCAGTAACTATTGCGTTTTCGAGTGGAAGGGCAAAAAAGATTCAAAAACACAACGTGTGGACGCGGATTTCGTTAAAGCGGAGAAAAAAAATCCCCGTTTTCAAGCAAAAACGGATACATGTGGACCGGGCCTGAGACGCTGGTGAAGGCAATTATGTGAGAAACCAAAACAAGACGATTCAGTGATAAAAAAAACACCGCGCTTTACTTTACCTCAACTTCCACTGGATCCTCCGAGTGATTGTCCTCTGAATCCAGTAGCTCCAAACTCAGACGGCAGATATTCTTATCTTTGTGCTGTTGAAAAGGATTAGAACTGTGTTAGTCTCTTACAGTAAGAAACGTGTACGGTGTGATTCAATTGTCGGCAGCAACGGAAATTGCACTGTTCTCTTGTTGTAAGAAGAGACCAGAGCTTCATAAAAATTTTACAGTGATAATAACGTTTTTGCTCAGTCTGCAATGCAACGGTGGCAAATATATTCTTTGTGTTCAATGCGGATTTGAAGGAGCACTTGAGAAGATGTAGCCTGCGTAGCAAGCGTTTCCGTGCGGTGCAGGAACAAAGAACGAGGAAAGAGAGTCAAAGACCGCGCGAAAAATGGCGCAAGTAAAAGAGCGGGGAGGGGTGGGGAAGAAAGGAAGGAAACGCTTGCAGACAAACCCCTACCCTGGGTACCAGAGGTTTTTCTCGCGTGCGGCGGGAATTTTCGGTGTTGGCCGAAGGCCGAAGCCACGAGCGGCGAAGCGCGGGTCACTATAAAGACTTGGCAGAAACCGGAAACCGCGCTAGAAAAGTCTCTCGCACCCAGGGTAACAAACCCCGGGATTTTGAAAACCGCCCGCTTGGCCTGTCATGCCTGAGTGAGCGCACCGACATTTGATGCTGTCAACAGCTGTCATAATTGACCAATAAAATAATTGGCCTTCGTGGAGCGGAATAGAGGACGCGTGTATGAAACCAAAATAATCTTTCATGGAACGTGTTTATGGTGAACTCTCAATGAATCCGAACGATCAGCAATCTTGACTGAGTCACAATGCACTTCTCCATAGTTGCAATCCATTCTTCGACATTTGGATCTGTAAATCACTATTCGAGAGGAAAAAAAAGCACTAACGACCTGGGCCCAGCATGACAAAACATTGCAGAAACCATCGCATTCGCTGACAAAAGAAAATATATTTTAGTTATTTAGATCCAAAAGGCACTTTGGAGAGTAAACGAAACGACCTGAAACCATTATTTAGTCGCAAGAAGAGCTTCGCGTTTCAAAAGAAGGAGGGCAAATCCTGGTACACAGGTGGGGGCTCGGAACAAGGATTTCTGCGCTGTTTCACAGACGGACTTAAACAAAGTCAAGTTTTGTCTGTGGCGCAGACTAGGAGACAATTGTGCATTAATCACAGCACAACAATAATTATAAGTCTATGTTACTTACAATGACCACTTTGTAACAGTTCTCGTCTGACAAAAGGGACTCTGCTCTCTTTTGATACGCTGACTCAGATGCAGCTCGGGTATGCTGTGTAGCCGAGCTTCCTCCAGTGGCCAGGTTACCTTGCTCCTGTTGGTAGAGTTCAGTCACCTGTCCACATGTCTCGTCTGTTACAATCGTGTGAAGCTAAGTGAAGAAACACATTATAAGTTGACGACACGTCATATGCTCAGCAGATTTGACCCTTTGAAACAGGTAACTAAAAGAACTACAATAAAATCTCATTCACAATGTTGAAATTGAGTTATCCACTTCTGCTGAACATCATAAAAAACGCTAAAATTTTTACTCCACAATTATCCTGAGCATATTTTTCCTGACTTGATGATGGCAAATTCTAACAGCAACGTGAAACGTATTCGGTCTTTGTCTTACTGAAATAAAAAGTCCATGCAAGAATGATTTTTTGAGCATACGCCCTTGAGTATTGCCACAAGAAAATGAGGTCCACTGAAGCTAACAATTACCAAAAGATGACATGATTAATTAACGCTATGGTTACTGTCACACCATATAACCAAGGTTCAAGCCTCTACCTGTCTAACGATATTCTGAACCAACTTGTCCATGGTAAATGCGATGTAAGCATGTACACCAAACATCTCACGACATGTATCCTCGAAGTTGGTGGAGTCCATATTACCTGAAATCAGTCAAAACAGAAAGAACACATGCATTATATCCAAGGACTAATTCTCCAGACTGACTTCCATACATTTTCCCGAGGAAAGAGTTACTGTCAAACTCAGAAAACCGTGAACACCTGAAAAATTTCAGGAATGTTGATTGTGTACTGGCCAATTACAATAAAGTTCAGGATACGCAAGCATACCCCACAACCACAAACTAATTACCGTTGCAGTTTGCGGTTTAGTTATCTCGCGCCTTATTGGCTAATTTCTCGCGACGCAATAGCATTCCATAAATATTTCTGGTGTTCACGGTTTTGTGAGTTTCACAGTAAGGGAATTTGGTAAAAGATCAAAGAATTTTTTTCCTTTGGTGATCATTTTATTCGTAATTTGCAAAATTTGCAAAATAGCCAAAAGTCAGTAAGCAGAGTACATGAAGCACACAATTTTAAACCATGTTTAGCTAAACAACTTTTAAACATGTATAAGCTTTGGTGTGAATGGGGCATTGGTTTGACCATCTAAACTGGAGCATTGAAACTTTCAGAAACCTCCACCAACTTCCTACTCTTTCAAATCGCACCTGTCGTGTTTACGTCTGGGGATATTGTTTGGGGCATTCACCAAAAGTTTTGCTACCCAATAAAACAAATTGTTATGAGTGCTTCGTGAGGCCTCATTAAGGTCTCATTTACAGCCAGGTCAAGCTTTCTAGTCATCAAAGGACTCTTACTCTATTTCAGCACTTCTTGCAGCCCCCTTTTCCTGCCATTTGGGCTAAAGTAAATAATGAAATAGTAAAAAACTAGCTAACAAACAAACAACAACAAATTTTGAAGCAAGCAACTTACCATCAAGTAAGTTTCTAATCATGTCCAAAAATGCAGGATAGTATTCTTCCAGGTCTATCTCACTGGGTGCTTTCAGTCGTAATGCAATGGCTGTGGCCTGTTTTCTCTGCTGCTTATCTGATGCTTCACCTTCTGCTATCATAACAGACTGCTGATACATCTTCAGCAACCGCTCACACAGCATCTAAAATGACACACACGAGATGCTGTTACAGAAAATGGCAGGATTGTTTTATCAAGTTAAAACACGGGGAACAGCTATGTACTGTTCTTGCCTTTGGTACACATCTCTTTTTTGTACATCACAGATAACACCTTTTGTAGTTTATTAGCTAATTAAAGAGGGCTTCTTCCCTCCCTGATCTACTAGTCTTGTATTAAGTCGACAAGAGAAATAGATATACAAAATGAAGAAAGAAATGAAAATCTTAAATGAACACAACCTGTGAGATTACGGACAGCTGAAAAATTCAGATCTGCTCATTCTTCCAGTGACGCTCAAGTTTTGTATTACTTTGACCAAGAACATTGAACACAGACACTTGTCTTATCAGATTTTAAGACACACCGAACTTTCTTATTCTCATATGACATTTCTTGCACGATTTTTGTCATGTTTAGGAAGGTTTTTTTTCGTGCATTTTTTGACTGGTTAGATTTCCAAGTCTTCCTGTCAGAGTGAAGATTTTAAGAATGTTACTGACATCTTGGCCTACCTGATGAAGTCTGAAGAGTAAATACCAGTTGTTATTTACAAATATTAAGTTATAGGCATCATCCTGCAAAATAAGAAAAGAAAAGGAAAATTACATTGTAGCAAAATTATTCAGCTGAAGAGGACATCATCATAAAAAATTATGATAAAGGGTAAAGTATTATCTGTTTGGGAGGCTGTAGCAGAGCTGCAAATAATTTTTCTTTCTTGGAAGGACATATCTCTAAAACAGATGTATACCAGAAGACCCTTTCCACACTTTTTTTCCAAAACAATAATTTACTTTTCAAGACTTAAGGTCAAAAAATAGTTGATCAGTGGAGATCTTAAAAAACACAAGACCAAGCTTTTTTCATAATGCACTGCAAACGTACAGTAAACATGGTGCAACGTGGACATAAGAGAGTTCTGAAACTTCTCATGTTGTGATTGAATGTCTTGGCTACTGGCGAGATTGAATGAGAATTGTACCTTTGCAAAAAAATCCAGACGTTTTATCATTTTTCTAGACTTTTTTCAGGTCTACAAAATTGCTTTGCAAATTTCAAGACTTTTTCAAGAATTCAAGACACTGTACAAACCCTTCAAAGATGTACAGCTAGTAAAATTTAGCCTTGTGAAAGTGTTCATATTGGAGTGTCCCAAAGGACAGAAAGTCACTAAAATGATGTCTTACCGCTTCTGCTTCTGGTAAACCATTAGTCAGTTCAGGTTTTCCTGAAACAAAAACAAAAATGAAAGTTTGAACCTTCTACTCTTACATCACTTTCTGGCGACATTGCCTTGTCACTCCAACTTTGAAATCTATGGGCAAATCTTCTGATGTACCCATTCAAACAAAGCCTCTTTAGCAGATTTTTTATTTTGAGGAAGGGGGGGGGGGGGATTTCTTACTCTGGCTACTACTGACGAGTAAAAGGGTATAAAAACTAGAACTAAACTAAATTAAACTAAACCAATGTGTATTACCATGAGTGAATTTTCTCAGTTTTGTAAAAGATCAAAAACCTCACTGCTCTTTAACTAACCACCTGAAAAAAACTACTAAAGATTATAACAAAACATGGTCTTTTAATCACAAACCGACGATTAACAGATGCTGCATAAAAATGCAAGTTGACTTTGGGTTACTGACATTGGTTCAAACGCCCTAGCACTGTTACGACTCAAGGGTTTCCACTCACCTAGACCATTGAGTTCCTTGACAGAGTCTTCATCATCACTTAGTTCACCTCTGGGAGCAAAGAACAAGTCTGGCAAAAAGCAATGCAGCAGCACTTTAATCTTGGCTTTGTCTTCCTTGTGGATACTGGTCTGTCTCTTCATGTGATGAACAATTAGTCCAGCAGCATCATCTAGAATAGATTTATCCTGATAGCTGTAGCCCAAGTGAGGACCAGTGGCATCCCCATTACCTTCTGCAGCTTGTTCTGTTCTCTGTAAAGGAAAACAAACCAGGAAATGAGCAAGCACTTGAAGGAGGAACATAAGGAGATTTACTGCTGCTTCAAAAACTGATGATTAGAAAGCTAAAAGTGGCTCAGTGCTGCCAAATGTTACTAAGCTAGCACAAGGGAGCAGTCAAACAGTAAGGAATGGCAGGCAAAAATTAGACTAAAACTTGTCTCTTTGAAAGTGCTATCTAGAAAATGGCTTTAAAACTATACTGATTTGTTCACACAGGGGGATAAACTGAAGTCTTCCCCTTGTTCTTGAACAGACATTTTCAACGAGCGTATTGTTTACTTGAAAAATAGTGAACATTGATGTCACAAGATGCCTAAAGTCGTTTCCGTGGGATGCGTTGGTCTATGGAAGCATAATGGCGTTCTATCTGAATTTGGAAAAATTAGGGAAAGCGGAAAGATGTGTCATGTTATGAGCATCGATGAGTAGGTTACCTGTATGACCCAGTATGGGTTGGTTTAATGTGCTTATGACTGAATTTATAGTAGCCTGCGTGGCAGGCTACTATTTCTCCCCAATCCACATCCCCTTTTTGATTCCTCCCTATCCCCTATCCCCTATCCCATTCGACACCTGCTACGCAAGCTAAATTTATAGTTGTCAGTGGTCGCAAGGATGGAGTTGATCTTGTTTTGATCTATCGCTATGTAGTTATTTTCGTAGCACGATTTGGATAAGAAAAAGAAGTTATTTTGCATCAAAACAAGGTTTACCCGTGTAACTTAAATTGGAATGTTAACGGAAACAAGTAATGGAGAGCATGTGCATAATGCTCTCTGATTAACCTGAACAGGAACTATATGTATAAAGATAGGTCATATCTTGATAGTAAGTTGCCACAGGTAACTTTTTCAAAGAGAAATAAACATTGTAGTTTTAGGTTAATGGAACAAAACAAAACAAAACATTCGCTTGCTTTATCGAGGGTTGAACCCAGGGTTACAAAGTTCGACAAAGTTCCAATGTTTTAATCCAAGATGAAAGTTTAATATTCCAAGATGCTCTTGATACGGTTAAAAATTAATTGCAATGTGTTTCCAAGGTCTCAAAGTTAACATAGTTCCAATGATTATCCCTGATTCCAAGGTATAATTAGTTTACTAAGGTCCTGATCCGTGTTCCATCCAGAAGTCCAATCCATTGCAAAAGTGAGTCGTCGATTGACAAGGAGAATATTTTCGCGATTTCACTGTCAATCGTCAAGGGTACGAGTTGAAATTTACGCGATTTAACCTCCCATCGTTAAGGTGTTTTCGATAAGAAAAGAAAAAAACTGAACTCTAGCTGTGCTCGGCAAAAACTGGCTACCTTCGAATAGAAAAATCTATCGGAAATCATGGCCCGCAACCAGACGCTACTAAAACCTTATGAAAAAGCTAGACCTAAACAAAAAAGAATCATGAAGGGAAGAAATAATTTGGCTTAGGTCGCCTTTCGTCACTTGCCAGTATCTCGAAGGATTTCGCTGGTTAACAAGCCATCCTAAATCACGAGTGCTGAAAACTCAAGCGCGACAAATTTGGCAAGGAATGTTCTGATTGCAACTTTCTTCAGAGGAAGCAAATCGATTAAAAATCGAAACAGATTTTGTACAATCTGATTGGTCGGCTTGGAAGAAGAGATAATCGATAAAGATTTTAGGCAATCCTCTTGGCTGGCTTTGCAATTTTGGGTACAACCGAACCGGATTTTTACCGTGGGAGTGCCACAGGCATCCCACGGAATAATGCCACTTAAAACTACTTTAAAGTTTCACTAATAAGGAAATTTGCATTCTTCAAGCTGGATTTGACTCAGTATAATGAACATTTCTTTACAAAAATTCTATCATGGCTGAAAGAAGCCTTCAAGCTTGGTCTTTCTTTATACAAGTATAGGAACAGATTACATAAAACAAGAATCACACAACAAGGTCTTGCTGGGAGTTGTATTGCTTGATCCTTTTGTTTAACACAATCTGTGGTAGTTAACTCCTTGTCTGCCGCCAATTATTTCAATGTATTTTGCCATGTAACTTTAAAAAATCATATCTCTGGTGTTATTTACAGTTCAATATCAAGCTATACCTCATTGGAAAGGGAAAAGAATACCCTTTCGAAAAAAAAATATTTCGGTCATAGGAAACCCATAATATTCCGCCACAAAAAAATTAAAAAAGCATATTTTGCATAAAATTTTTTTAAAATTTTAAAGATTGTCATTTAGCTAGGAAACTTCTTTATTTTGGGTGATATGGTGGCAAGAAATATTTTTCATCAATATGTAAGTAAAAAAACCCGAAAATCGTTCTAAAATATGGAGCGACTAGAAATTTTCTACAAATTTTTTTCTGCACGCTGTCATGATTATGCTAATTGGATTATCATAATTAGCATAATCCTTTGGCGTCACCTCGTGACCCCATGTTTACTTCACTGAGACGCTTTGTTTCCTCGATTCCCAAAAAAATATCGAGTTAGGGACAAGCAGACATGAATTTGCTGATAGAATTCATCAAAATAAGCAAGAATTTGACAGCGAAAAAAGCGAAAGCGAAGGCAAACGGGAAGAAAATCGTCGCCCGTTTCAAGAACATGTGGCACAGAGTGGGCGATCGGCGATTTGCATGCACAGATTCTAATTGTTTCCTAACCTCGATTTTCGCGTTTATTTTGCTTGTTATCCTCCAAAATCCTTCAGAATAGTTTGTTTGAGTTGTATTTGGTTGACATTCGTCTATACAAGCTTTCATTATTCGCAAAACCGGCTCACAAAGATTCCCATGACTAGCCATAAAATTCAAAATTTTCGAAAACCCGGTGTGTGACGGTCAAAAGTCGACAGGGGCTGGAACTAGGCAGGTGATTGGCTAAATCTATTAACTTCCTGTGTGCCAAATTTGGGAGCAATCGGAAGTAACACAATTTTTTGCGAAATTTCTTTGGTCACCGTTCCTGAAGCTCCGATTTCGGCGACCCCGGAAGACGAAGTGTTAAATTTACCAGCTGTGAAGACAGGCATTATCACAATAACAAGTAAAGCTGTCATACATGTATATCATGACATCTACTCACCTCATCATAAATAGTCTCAATCTCATTAATAAGACTTTTTGATCGCATGGACTTTAAGTCATTCTGTTTGAAGGTGATCCCTTGATGATCCAAGGACTGCAATAGAAAAGAAAAATACAACAGGCTAAAAAATTAATTGCATATACTTGGGAAGTTAAACTTTTAATGACAGCCCTGGCCTTCTACTCAAAGGAGATCATACAAAAGGGGAAAACACTTATTCCTATACAGAGAAAGCAGCAACATGTACTGCATTTTGTTTGTACGTCTTCCTTTTACCTTGAGATAATATTTTTCATTTTGATCACGCCATATTTTATTAAATTGTCTTTGGGATTCCCTCCACTCCTCCTCTTTGGTCTTCAATCTACAGATGAAGAAAAAAAATTATTACAGGGTTTAGGATAAGATTCTTTGTACTGCCTATAACAAAAAAATTACTTTTCAAACTAAACTGGCAGTGGTTATCATAAATACCTCCTTATACAGATTTCTTTAGGAAATACACTTGGATGCAATCAGGATAATTTAGGAGGAATCTAACAATACTGTTATATCAAAATTAATAATGGCCTCTCATAGGTTCAGAAGTTTCTCACGATTAAAATCCAGAATTTTGACCGTCAAAATTGGAGTGAATTTTTGTATAAGAACCTATTTTCTTTGCCGGGCTGAACAGGTTCTTGTATTTTTGGGTAATTAAATGGCAAATTCCCACCACTGCCGACTATACCATTTTTGAATAGAATGATCTGGCTGGATCAATAGTGGAATTCTCTTTAGTACTGGATCTGTCCGGCATGTAAATTCTTGCAACTAAATGGAAAGTGCCCCTAGTGTTCACTGACACTCTAAGCTCTTCCCCCTTCATTAAGTTGGTGTCCCTCCTAATTTTTGTATTGCAAAGCTTTGTTACTACAAGTTATAAACAGACGTTGACAAGCGCAGAGAAGTTTGAGTCACACAAGCAAGGTTATACACCCTTCCTGCCTCTATAACAACAGCCACAGATAAAAAAAATCCCTAGTTTAAAACTAATTCTCACCTCTTTAAAACAAGTGGCACAGCCACTGCAGGTGTTTTCTTTAAACCATCAACTATATCAGGAGCCTTGTCTCCATAAATCCTGTTAAAAAATATTGCAACAGTTTACTATTATGTTACGCACTGGATGTGACTCAACTAAGTAAAACATTTCCCTCTTCTGAAACTTCCAGCTAAAGACTGTACAGTCCTTAAAGATTGAAAAGTCTGGGTCCTTATCCCTGAAAGTTGATTTAAACTGAGCCACAAATATTATCTTTTTCACCACTATCTGTTAAGTGCTTTCATGCATTCAAATTAGCACTAACATCAAATGAAGATGTAATGGCCTCGTAGGAACAGAGACCAGGGACAAGAAACTGCTAAAAAAAGGTACTTCAGCTGGAATGACATACACTGTTCATGACAGAGACCTAGAGAACCACATGAAGGGGTTCTGTTTGTGATTTCTAACAAGTTAATTGCAGATTACTTTGTGTTTCATTGTGAGACAAGACAAGAATAAGACACAAGATTGACAGACACTTTCAGCCTCTCCACTCACCCTTTTGAAACATATTTCTAAATTTGTGAATAAATACCTTTGAATAGCTTTTCGGTGGATGAATTCTGATGTTCCCCCTATACAGCTGTCAAGTCGGAATTTTGCTTGCTCTTCAACTGGCATTCTGCAAGCAAACAAAAGCAAAACAAGTTAAAATGGCAGGTATTCTTGAGGCTGCAATAATTTTGGTAGAACACTCAAAAGTGTTTGAAAATATAGGAAGTAAAATAGGGACAAAGGGAGCACTAGACCAGTACCGCCAAGTGAAGGTCAATCTTACCTTTGAAGCTTTTTCTGAATTGCTTCCAAAACTCGAATTGTTGAAAGATTGGATTCCAAAACAACATCCAACTGAAAAAAACAATATTACGACTTTAATGAATTAGTATGAATTATAATATTCAGGAAGAACTCCTAAGAGAAGTTAAAGGTTTACAATGTCAAAATTATTCACAAATTAATAAACTCCAAACAAACCTCAAATCTTTCATCCTCGCATCTGAAAACAAAGGACAAAGAGAGTGTAACACAAATTTGTGGTTCAATTTTACCTTTGGTTTTCACTCATTAGAGCGGTTTTCACTTGACTGTCGAAAGTAATTGAGGAATTGGTTTTGGTTTTGGTTTTAGTACGCCCTTTGGTTGGCTAGTGTATTTACTTTGGTTTTGGTTTTATGACAGTCAAGTGAAAACCGCTCTATCATATATTACCATACCAAAAACAAAGGAAAACAAAATTTAGACCAAGGATGAAAATTAAACAACAACATCTATAAACCTTTAGGTTTTAAGTTAAGCAAGGCTGTGAAAGAAAACAAGTAAATGAAACCAAGTAATTTACCACTTAGCCATTTGCCCGTGAGATGGTGATGCTGACATAACCCAGCAACACGTTGAGTTTACTCACACCCCTTACTTTAAAATAATTTTGTTGCTTTCTATTCTTCCATTTCAGATGCACATCTTAATAAATAATATCACTGCTGATATAGCATTTATAAAAATAAAAAATTTAAATTAAAAAAAAAATTTTTGTTGCTTTCTATTCTGCCATTTCAGATGCACATCTTAATAAATAATATCACTGCTGATATAGCATTTTAATATTTACCTAAAAATGTACTCCTCATATTGTGTTTTCCTTGTTCCAGGAAATGGTGTGTCTTCTGACCATGATGGGAAAGATACCCATGTGTCGTTGAGGACTTCTTTACACAGCGCTGTACGTCCACTGCACTTTGGTTGAGTGTAGCTTTTAGGGAGTGCTCTATAACTTGTACCATATCTTCTACATGAAGAATAGTCTAAGCAACAAGAAAAAGATCTGGCTGTATATTTTTGTTCCTGGTGATGAGTAACAGGTTTAGAGTTTTGAGCACACGCAGAAGGCAAACTTTTGACTGTTTCCCTCTGTTGTATTCCCCAACCTAGTACACTTGGAATTCTTACCCAATTTTCCTTTTTGTTAGCTAGGCATTTTCTAGGCTTCATTACAGTGGGAAATGTTTTTGAAAAAAAAAACAACAGAAAATTAAGTGGAATTAATTAAATTTGAGGGAAGTTAGGCGGCATGGGTAGTGGAACAGGATTTTTATTGGAACTGTTTGATCAAATTTACACGATTGTTTTTGCTATCCTCTAGCCATCATGCCAATTTGGGTATGGTTTGAAATACCACATCCCTCTGCACAAGGTAAGTGTCAAAGTTCAAATTGATGAAATGACAGGTGGTACATACGAGGATGTGGTCCCTCCTTGTTTGAGATTCGAATTTGTAAAGAGCTTCATTTGATAGACACTTTCAAGAGCTAGGATTTGTCATTTCTGTGCCCAGAGATCATGGAAAACCATCTGTAACAATTGTTTTGGCTCAATGAAAATTCATGGGAACCCACCTCTTAAATGTTTTCAATTTCTGGAAGTCATTTTTTTTTTCTTGGCCTTGAAAACCATTAACCAGTAACTTTCAATGCATTTTGGAAACCATTTAAGATGGTGAACAATAGAAAGATGATAGATGCTAATCAAAGTTTTAGTTTTGTATATAACTTGAGTCATAACTAAGAATTGCTCTACTAGCTAAGCATCTGTGTGGAAAAAGAGTGAATTACTGTAAATTGATCCTGAAGGCTGAAAATGTCACTGGGAGACTATTTTTCAGTTCCATTATTTTAAGACTACGGTAACGACACGGTACCGGAAACAATCGTTACTGCGAAATCCTAGGGGTTGACTGTGAGATTTTCATTAAGATTTATCAAAATGCAGACATTCAAGGTCAAGGGGACTGGTACATACCAATCTCAAGATGATGGAGTTCACCAGATGTTCTCTCTTTGAAGCTGGCCACACTCTCCATGGGAGAGGAGTCCTTATAGCCAAGGAATTCCTTAAACCACTGAAACAGCTCAGCATATTTACTGAGGAGATAACAAGAGTGCATTTTAGATAAAAGAACTTTTAAGTAGGGTCAAATCTGGCACTGAAGAAAACAAAGAAACAACAAGACACAAAATAGATGAGTGAAACAGACGAGGACAAAAATGTCCTTGTTAATCAAGATGCTCACCCTATAAAGTTGGCAGCCAGCTGCACAAGTTCTGCTCTGGAGATCACTTCTTGGTTGAACAACACAAGACAGCGAAGAAAGTTATTATACAATTCAGGATTCTTCAGAGCCTTCCTCACCTTCAAAAAAAGGGATGAAATATTACCTCAAAGGTTCCTATCTATGAGCAGTAAATAGAATTTCAAAATGGCATTAATAATTCATAAGGAAAAAAACAAAAAAAATTAATGTTTAATGAGTGTCTTTACATTATCTGAAATAAGACACAGCTAAACTTTACGTCCAATTTTTAGACCAAAATAACCCTAAATCTAAATATTAGTGCAAGAATGAGTTGATCTAAATGAGATTTTCAAGGTGTTCAAAAAACTCGCAGTTGTGTATCTCAGCTTCACCTTGGGTTTTTAAACCTGATAATACGCTCCTGCTCATTTTTTAAACAGTACTTGCATTGCATGAAACAAGAAGGAAGGAACAACAACGTAACAAACCAAAGGAGTGTATAATAAAAAGTAAAACTGCTCCAAAACTCCAGTGAACCATGCCTTGGCATCACTCTTTTCACCAAAACAAAACACATCTACACAACAATGTTACTGACTGCTGCTGCAATCAATCGGAGTTTCAAAAATGTTTCTTGTACCTTTTCAAAGAATGCAAATTCGGAGAAGGTGCCAACTTTTTGGGCTTCTGCCAAAGACACATCTTTGATAGCACTTCTTGACTTCTTCTAGGTGAAGAGGGAACAAAAGATGCACAGATCAGGAAACTAACATTCAAACCACTTGAAAAAGAATTATCTGCAAGGTACTATAAATACTTTAGTATGATCAATCCTGGCTGTGGCCCGCCTTTTTTCTCATTTTTGTTCATTGTTCACAGACAGTTTTATATGTGCTTCCTGTTAGAAAAGCCTAACCTATTGTAGGTTCAACTGCAGGTGAACTTTGGTGTGTGCTAATACAATGAGAATTTCTTTTATTATTAATTAATATGTCTACCTTTGCCTGAGGATGAGTAGGGGATGATGATACACTGTTGGAATTTCTTCTTATTTGGTGTGACATGCGCTTTGATGAATTTAATCCCACTGCAAAGAATATTTGAGAATTATTACATGTTTTATAGAATAAGACTGTAATTTGATTACAAGTATGACTGTCACCTGTAACTGACGAGGCGCCTGAAATAAAGGCTTGGGTGACTGATAAACTACAAGATTCTCCTTCAAATTTATCGTGTATGAGTGTAAATCATGTGGAAAATTCGATATTAGATCAAAAATCACTTAGGACCTTTCTTCATGCAACCTTGTAAGCACAACTATTTTCGGGGAAGGATTAACAATGAAAAGCAACATGCACAATCATAATTAATTCAGTTGAAATAACCTGCAGGTTTTTTGGCAGGAGGAGCATACTCATTCCTTGCTGATGATAAATGGGACTGAAGTCTACTCGATGATAACAGACCCTGGAAAAAGAGAAGAAGCAAAATCTGTGCTAGGCAAGTAAACAAAACACAACAACATCTGGCATCTGGCAACAGTTTCCAACCTTAAGTTAAGTCCAAGGGAACAATAATCTGAGACAACCCAGGGCACTAATCATGACTCCAACGTGATAAGCACGAATTCAATATCCAATATTTGAATGCAGAAAATACAGTGATGAATTGGTCATTCAAAGATCTTCATTAAACCAAATGTTTAACCTTTGGGCTATACAGTACATAACTTGGGAACTCAAGTCACCAAATGGGAAAGGTTATTTTCACACCATAAAAACCTGATATATTTCAACACTTATTTTGGGGCTGAAATGTAAGTAATCTTCTATATTGCCCTCACGATGATACAAATTTAAAATAATTTAATAATGAAGAAATTACCCCTGGCATGGAGGCTGCACCATTTGCATCAGGAAGGAATTGACTGAACTCTTGGAGTAAATCCTCCTGGTTCTGGAACAACTTGGCAACTTGTTGATAGACCTGCAACAAGAAAAAGAAAACGTGAGACCCCAACCCCTGGCTCTCTACAACCAAGACTACAGAGTGTTTGAACTCAAAAAATACCACAAATGTAGCAATACAAGCAAAGTCAAGATTTCACCCTAAAACCAAAAAGAATGTAAAGACATTGATTTAACCTTGTTTGAGCCACAGAAATGTTTTTTCGTTTTCAAAGACTTTATGACAGAAGTACTAGTGATCAGGTAGTTTATACTGAAGCCCCCCAACAGTGGGATTTAAACCTGGGCCAAATGAGCTGAAGTCCAGAACTGTACAGCCACTCAGCCACACTGCGCCCACAATGAGCAACGGTGTAAATGAAGTTATACACAGACCAAGCAAATGGAGTATCTGTCTACCAGTAGCCACTTGGCAATGTGGGTATATGAAAAAAACAAATTTTTTGTTTACCTCATTCGCAAGTTTAGCTTCTCTCATGTAGATCTAAAAATAGAAAAAGGAAGTGGCATAAGCATCAATTATGTTGCAGTAACTTAACAACACCAAGCTATCTGGTAGATGAGAAGTACACGAAGATCCCCAAGTGTAAATGTCTTAAAAGTAGAAAAGGACACAAGGACAAAGACCGACAAGGCAGTGAACCCTAGAGGGAGCACCTTCATGAAAGAATGTCCACTAATCACAGCTTACTATACAGAAGAAAATGTGAGCCCAGTCAACATCATTGCCTGATATTGATGAAGAACACTGATCACTAAGCAGATGAAATGCAACTTTCCACTTCCAAAAAGAAAGGAATACAATTAACATTATACCTCTTGTTCAGACAGTGGAGTTCCCTGCATGGCAGCCTCCTTAATGTTTTTCTGCTCCTTTTGGTATGTATGAAGAATTTCCAGAAAAGCCTTGTAGATGTCAGGTTGCCCTTGGAATCGGTTCTGAAATAAAGATTACCATCACAATATCAATTGCACTTGTTGGGTCACTCTTCAGTTTCCTTGTTATCATGCGTTGATAACAATTGATTGACTGATTGACCTACATATACAGTGCAGGCCAGAACAAAAGGAACAATGCAAACGCAAAACTGATGCAATGGATGCGTCAGGCTGGACGAGGGTAGGTGTCAGGCAGGAAAGGATTTTTCTAGTGTTATTCACTGTGACAGCTTTGCTTTGTGGAGCATTGTTGTAAAAAAAACAAAACAATTTCTCGGATTTGAAGAAGCTCGATAGTCGCTCATTCTAAGGAACTTTTCATGAGCCCTGATAAATTTGGAGATGTGGAGGGTTTATATGTATAATTGCTCGGCATCCTTCTTTTATATGTAATTGTAATTCTAGGTTCATACACCTGAAGAATATCAGCCGTTTTTTAAAGAGCTGAAAGTCAGAGCCTACAGCATCAGTTTCTTAGTGGACCAGAGTCAAAATAATATTCTATCGCTAGAAACAACAACACATCTGCACTAACCTTGATTTTGTTTACATAATTTATGGCATGGTTGAACTCTACAGGTTGTTGACCCTACAAAGAAACAAACAGTTCTTAAGCACAGTCAGCAATGAGATTTAAGCCTACAGACTAGATGTACACTTTAACATTACGTCATGGGTTGAAATCCTGCAGGGAATCAGTACATTAACTGTGGTAAATGTTATCACTGTTCTTCACACTTTCAACACTAATATAGAATATGGCTCAAACTGCTGGAGTTGCTACAGCATACGTATAACAGTGGTATATACCTGTCCTTGCTGAGCAGTAGGTGACTGAAGGGGTTGTTGTTGTTGTTGTTGCTGCTGCTGCTGCTGTTGTTGTTGTTTCTGCTGAGGTGGCTGTTGTTGCTGTGCCTGTTGGCTACTTGATTGATGGACCTATAATTTATCATAACACAAACCTTATTATCAATACTTATTCATTCTGTCAAGCCATTATGATCTATGACCTGAAAGAAGACAAACACATGGTGAATGTTGTGAAGAATTTTTGATTGGTTTAAAGATTAGAAATCTAAACATGATTATTAGGGATAATTTAACATGCAAAGTCTTGAAGATAAGCACAAGATGTTGACAAGTAAGAAATCAAAAATAACTAAACTGATTTATACAATGCCCACAAACAATTCCTTCAAAGCTAGGTTTTCTTTTCTGTTATAGGAAGGAACAAATAGACTGCTTTTTGCTGTGTCTGTTCAGTTATACATGTGTTGATCAGAGACGTCTAACCAAAGTGGCAAGATCATTCACCAATGGTGAACCTCACCCTTGATCTATAACTCAATCAATTTTAACAAAAACCTAAAACCTAGTATAATATGTTTCAATTTGTAAGCAAGGGGGAGCAAGGGATGGTGCAGTGGTGAGAGCGCTCACCTCCCACCAATGTGGCCTGGGTTCAAATCCTGGCGTTGATGCCATATGTGGGTTGAATTTGTTGTTGGTTCTCTCCTTTGCTCCGAGAGGTTTTTCTCCGCGTACTCCGGTTCTCCCCTCTCCTTGAAAACCAACACTTCCAAATTCCAGTTCGACAAGGAATCAGGTAGACGAAGAACCACTTTGTGGATGTGCTACCTCCAAATCATTATTATTATTATTAATTATGATCAAGGTCACAATAATTTTAGGTAGGGCCGATAACCTGTTTAACACATACATATAAATAAAATAAGCCAACTGGAATAACATTTCAATCCTACCAGTTTGAGTATACCCTTACCGGATGCTGATTAGTTTGGATGAGAGTGGTGATCTGCGACTGTCCATTTGGTGCTGTAACTGATACAGTTCCAGGGTCACTAGCATGCACCTCTATTTTGTATCCAGGAGGAAGGAAGGTGTTAAAACCTACGATAAGTTCTGGATGTCCCTTGAAAAGCGATGATACTCTGCTTATCACTCCTGGGGTGTCAATACTGGGAAAAAATAAAATAAAAAAAAGAACATAATGCAAAAAATATACAAAACAATTTGTAATTAGCTTGGTAACAGAGAAAAACAGCAGAGCAGAGAGATGAGGTACAGGGTGCAAAGAAAGTCAGTTTTACAGCCTGCCATTTGGGCAAGCTGTAGCTAGCATGTACTAGCCCACAAGTCATTTCAAGTAGCCCCAAAACCCTTTTTGATTAGCAGGATTGATTACCATCCTTCTGTAATTTGAATTTCCCCAAAAAATTCACTTGCCTGTCGGACAAGTTAAGAACAGAATTCACTAGCCCGAAAGCAAAATCCACTAGCCCGGGCTATCGGACACTACTTTCTTTGCACGCTGGAGGTATGAAAGCTTTACACAGCTAAGGCTAGAGAAGATTATACTGGATTAAAAAGAACAAACTGTGAGGTGGCTTGTTGAACAATAACAAATGCTTTGCAGTAATTTTGCCGCAAATTGCCATCGCATGAAAAATCATGAGTCCCAGCCAAGAATCCAGAAGTCTCAGTCAAAATAAAGATGCATGAGCCTTCATGTAAACAAATGAAACCACAAATTTAATTTGAAGTCAATTTCTAAATAACAAAACTCTATTAAAGCCACTCAAACAGGAAAGTTTTTAAATTATCTGTTAGGCCACTCTATTTATCTTTACATCCAACAGGACACCTGACATTAGTTACTTTGCATTTCTGAGTAAATGGTGAGGGTGAGTAAATGTAAGGAAGATACCACAAAGAGCATACACTAAAACCTCTTCAAAAGGACATCAAAATCACAGAGCTCGCTGTTTACGTTAGTCAATTGGCTTAGTCACTTTAGAAACGAGAAGGGAACTGGAGTTGAAATGCGCCTCGCAATAAATTGTTTCTTGGATTGTTACTGGGGACATGCCAGTCAGCTATTGGCCAATTTTTTCCCTGTCCTTAGTAACAGTCCCAAAAGTCTTTGCAAAAGTTAATTGGGCCCAGTTCTATCTTGTTTCTAAAGTGATAAATGATGGCAGGATGTGAAAATTATTTTTCTGCCCACTGTCCTTGGCAATCATATGTGTTAAGTGTCAAATAAAGAAAGCAAAAAACAGCTAGTGAAATAGACAGAATCATTTATAAAGCCAACCCCCTTTTCTTAGTATGAAACTTTAAAATGGGTTTTGCTTTGAAAATACGCTTCAAGATACCTTTGAGATTTAAACTCTTTCATAATATCCAGAAAATCATTGTACACTTGTGGCTGGTTTCCAAACTGAAGTTTGACTTGATCCAAGTATGACAGGGCATCCTCCACCTTACAAAATTAATAAAAACACCATAAATGAACGTACAGATTACATGCATATGCTAATATATATAGGTGTAACTACTGAAGAATAGACAGCATCAAGTCAGCAAAGTGGTAAAAATCAAGGAATTGCAACAAAGTTATAAACAACAAAGAAACAACAAGAAGATCAAACACCACATTTTAACCTTTTCCCTATACCCCTTGTACCCGTATTAAGGAACTTAAGCAGAACTTCTGGATAGTACTTTCTTTGGTTCACACTTCAAGAAATCTACCTTTAATCGTTGGAACTGCTGCTGTTGTCCTTGAGCCTGAGCTTGTACATGCACCTGAGCCTGGCCCTGAAATATAAACAGTACAGTGGGCCTGGTTGTTCAAACATTGGATAGCGTTATCCATTGGATAAAATACTATCCAGAGGATAAGTATATGTCTGTAATAATTTTATATATTAATGTTATTTTTATATATCAATGATATTTTAATGATATATTTTTAATACTTTTACATATACTGCTGCTGTTTGTCTGTAATAATTTTGTATATTAATGTTATTTTTAAATATTAATAATATTTTAATGATATATTTTTAATATTTTTATGTATACTTGATTTAATCTTATATTATATTCATTTTATTTTTTTTCAGTGTCCACAATTAGCTTTAAGCTAAATACCTTGACACTTTAATAAAGTTCATGTATGTATGTATGTATGTATGTAGGGAAATCAATGTGTTGTCCAATGGACAGAGATGTATCCTTTCGATAGCATTGTCCTCTGTTTGAACGTCACTATCTGACAGATACAGTGTAAGTATTAAGGAAACGAACTGCACTATCCAGTGGATAGAGATTTATCCACTGATGGTGTGCATTATTCACCTTTTGAATAACTAGGGGATGTAAACCATAGGTGGACACAATTGAAAAAAAAAAATTTTTCCTGTGCAGCCATATACAAGAATAAAATAGTAAATAATAAAATTACATGTACCTCAACAATTTTCATGAAAGCACAATGAATTCTGTGGATAATAGATCAACTCACCTGGTGATGGGCTGAAGCTGGATTCTGTACATGAGGATGTGACTGTGAAGTCTGGGATTGAACTCTGAAAATAAAACAGAAAAAATCAAAATCAGTTGTCCAAAGCAGCAAAGCATGCAGGTACATGTACTAATCACTTATTACTTAACGAAAAAGAATGATAATGCTGCAATAATCAGATGAAGAATACAGGAAGAACAAAATATAAGAAAACCATAACACATTATGTTTTTCTTGTCTTAGCTCACTGATTTGACTGCTTACTATGCAACACTGTTTTGAGGGGAGGAAAACAACACAGTGAGAAAAAAATTGCACTGTCCCAACGTGTAGGGAAATCATTAATTATTTTATCAGTACTCCTCTGAAACAAATGAATTTATTTATGTGTACACAAACTTAGCGAAAAAAAAAAACATCAGTATTGCTTAAAGTGCCTATGACCTAAAATTTTTCATTTTCTTATCTGAAACTACACCTTATTAAAATAACTTCTGTGAAAAAAATTTTTTTAGAATTTTTTAAAAACGTTCAAATTTGCTGGCATTTTGGCACACCATTCGTCTTAGTCTTCTTTCGGGTCATGACGGACTTTAAGGAACACGTGACTTTATCTACAGGAAAACATTAAAAGTTCTGGTAGGTTTTTCTGTTTCAGAAAAACTCTCTTCTTGCAGGTGTACCGCAAAAATGTCGACTTCAAAAATTGGTTAAAAAATCGCGTTTTGTTGAAATGGCAAAATTTTTTCGCAAAAGTTATTTTAGTAAGATATAGTTTCAGATAAGAAAATATAAAATTTTAGGTGATGGGCACTTTAAGAATCAGATACAATAGATAAAAAATTTGCAGCATACTCATATAAATGGCGCACTTGCCCAGTGAAAAAAAAGCCATTACAGGCAAATGCAATGGCTATACACATAAGCAGCAAATAAATCCACACTGATACAAACTCAAAAATGGACCACTACTGTAACATGAAATTGGAACACGACTGTTTGTGAGTAAAAATTTGCTATACTTGCCTCTTGGCTCTTCCCCCTCCTCTGACTCCCCCCCCCCCCCCCACCTCACTCTCACTATGCAAAACAAATTGACACTTAGGAGACAATCAGAGAGCATGGACTCAACATTCTAGTAAAGAGTGAGGTTTTGCGCTTATCCTCTAAAAATTTGTCTCAAGAAGTTTTTCCACTATTAAAGATGACAAAAAAACAGACAAACAAAACAAACACAAAACAAATAGCTGGTACATAAGATACTTACTGATAACCTGGAGTCCCTGCCATCTGTGCTGCCCCAGGAAATTGTGCCAAACCGCCTAATCCATCTTGCTGCAGCTGTTCATAATTAGTTGTCATGCCAACAGGAGCTGGGGCAAGAACAGGGGGAGGGCGGAAACTCTGCCTGTTTTGACCATATACACCGTCGTGGTCTTCAGGACGGACCCTCTTCATGTCTTGCTCCACAGCCTCATTCAAACAGTATGATGTGACTTGAGCCTTTGGATGTTTATCTAAAATAATAAGAGAAAAAAAAGGTTTATATTGCAACCAAAGTAAATAAACAGTGTTAAAACAACCTCAAACTGTCTTTTTTTATATCCCCAGGATGAGAAGCTCACATGTCATGTCTTAATAGAAGAACTCACAAATTTTCCTTAAAAGAAGAAAGGCTAAAAGATGCAGTGAATGGAATGAACTTTAGATGTATTTGTTGTTGTTTGTGACAAGCAAATTCCAGTATAAAGCTATACAAGAGAGACAAAACATAAATGGATGTAGGAAGAAAAAGAGCTGGCTGTTGGCATCATCTAAGAGGGATGAGTAAATTTTATTACGAATGGCAAGTTAGTCAGGTGCATCCATCTAAGTACCTAGGTTAATAGAGACAATATGTAGCTGTGATCTTGCAATGAGGAAACCACACAGGAAAGTATCCCTGCAGTTGGTGACTTTCGGGTCAAATAAGTACAAATTAAATTACAGTGCATGTCTATCACCATGCCAGAGCCATTTTACAAGAAAAATAAATATGCTGTATGGCTAAAGACAAGAGTGTTGACATCGTACTTGTAGCTAACAAATGGAGTACCTATGTAAAAACCACTCAAAGTTTTGCATGAAGGGGTGTGAATAACAGTGAAATAAAAGCAATGCAGGTACAAAAGTTTGTAAGTAACTTCTGTATGATATATTTGAGGCACAAAACATTCCCCATTGACCTTTGCTAATGATCACAAAAATTTGTTACTTGATTTAATTCTCTCCCAATTCTTAAAATGAACCAGTCTCAATATCGTTTTCCTTCCTACAACATTGACTTCAACGTGGCATGCCACAAGACGAGTGTCGGTAGATATGGTTGACAGGCACCGAAGCATCACAGTCTACCGTGTACATGTACATGACCTTCAAGCCATGACAACATTGGCATGAGCAATTTTGAAGTAATTTACTGGATTTGTTGAAGGAAAAGTTTCATTGACAACGCGCTCGGGCACATCTCTCTCGAGTAACAAGCTTTTTCAAAACGGGCAAGGTCGACTACAATTGATCCTGCAGTTGTATTAAATGATGTATGTTTATGTCACACAAACAGAAAAATTAATGCATATAAAAATTACTGCATGTCGAATCGTGCATCCATGATAAACAAAACGAAACAACATCAATAACATTTAAAAGCACTAAAGTAGCAAAACGAAAAACTGAAATCAAATATCATTACGCTTTTGACTCGTAAAGGAAGAGATAAGCTTGTTAATGTTTTCGACGTGACAGTATTTTGTTGCTGAAATTTTAAATAGAGACTAAAAGAGAAATACTAAGTCAAGATAGCGTAACATACAGCCTATCCATTTAATCTCCTAAACCATTTAGAACGGAGTCTTAGCTCAGGAAAACGCAACACGAATAAAATTGTTTGAATATAACTAAGCCAGTTCACGGAATCTTCAATGTAAACAATCGTTGAGGCCGGGAGATGATACAGGCAAAGATTTTTTTCACAACGATTATGCAGTATCAACTGCATTTTCATGATAAAAATGGAAAATCAGAATACAATATAAAGCTGGGCAATACTACGGTGGTTTTATTGTGTCAAAGAACATGAAGACAGAGGGAATCAATGAAGTGACACGACACAACTGGTTCTGTCGATCGATCGATCAATTACGACAAAAGTTTCAACTTCCGACTCGAGTAAATCGAGCCTAAACCAAAAACGCAAAGCAAAAGGAGACTGAAAATACAAAACACAAACAATGTCTTTTATCTGCTAGCTAGAAAATAGGAAAGGATTGGAACACTAGCGTAGTACAACCGATTACGTCGGCGCGAAACTACAAATCCACTCACTGACACTGCCGACAGGAAATGGAATTCCGAGGCTCAAGCAGATCGACGCACTTGCAAGTTTCGTGTCCTTTTTAAAGCACTGAAAGGCATAAACCTTCTCTATCAATGTTTACTTAAAACTATGGGGAAAAATAGAGGCAAGTCGATAACAGCAGCAGGAATATAACGCAAAGGAATCGAAATTCTTTTCCATTCATGTAATATAATTATACTGCACACTCCCACACGATCAGGTCGTAAACATTGATGTTTATGCCGTTTTTCAAGTCTCTTTTTTAGCTTAACAAGGCCTTCGCTAAGGATATATGTTCTACAAAAATGCATATACCGAAACCTGCGGGAAAACGATTTACTGTGGCTTGTAATCCACAAACTGTCATGCACTGAAAAACATAACAGACTATGGTGCAAAACGACAGTGTCATGAAAAAGAAAACAGAATAACACTACAACGATGCGATTCAACTTACATTTAGTGTTTTCCCTGGTCAAGATGAAGGCAACTCCACTTCGAAAACCCTAGGATGGCCGAAAATTTTAAGGATTATACAGAAGACTCAGTCGTAAACGTTCCCTTGACTTCTTTTCGCTCGCAAGCGAACAGTCCGCGAGCCGTTGACGTCACACACTCCACCGGAGAAGCCAATCAGATGATGTTATTTTCGATTCAAAATATTCCCGCCGACTAACACGTGACTTCTAAGGGCCCGCCCCCTTTGGTGCTCGTTTCGGTACTTCCGGTAGGGGAGCGGAAGTATTAAAAGAAATCATGAAGGTCTTATATTTTTCTGCAACTACTATAATTTGCAGTCTGCCCACTTTGAATTCTTTCAGTTGTATTACTCTCCAATAGCCTGACCCTCTCCCGATCATGTCTCTCTGCATCTTTACCCAAACCACAAGGAAAAAGTCTGATAGCAGGAGAAGGATTGTGCTACTTCAAATATTTAAAAAATGTTTTTTCTTCTCTCATCCCTGCTGCGGTTTCTTCAGTTGCCTTTTTCAGGTTGATCAACTG